TAATTTTCAGGAAGACTTATTGTTGCAGCAAATACTACGACTTATCAAGATCAATGAAGACAAAAAAAGGTCTGTCAAATAATGAAGTTTAATCATTTCATGTTGAATGATAAGTTCAAGTTTTAGAAAGTTCACTTCCGAATTATGTTACTGCTGTAATAACTAATTCACATTTATTAACTAATCTCACTTGTATCTTTTTTTTATAAGGTCGTTTCAGTTGTGCAATTCTAAAAACGATAGTGAACATTTCATATAAATAAGCTGTTATAATTTGGATATAAATCCTCCAGACAAAAATCTACAATGCATACCACCAACTTCGATCTTCCCTTGTTATCCTGCAACACTGTCAGGATGCTAATGAGTATAAAATCAAATTTGTAGGAATACTAGTTCACTGAACAATCAAATGTAATGAGTACTTTAAAACTGGTGACCAGTAATGAAGTGGTGTACATGGTAATTTCCAGCTACAAATGGAGTAAACATACCTAAACTAAGCTAGTCAATGCCACTTTCGCAACGTTTATTCCACTAACCGTTGGGATATCAATAATACTTTTACATTCGTTTCCCAATGACTTCATATTAAATCTCGCAAGCAGTACCAAATAATATGGAATGTCTGTTCTGACGTATGAGGTGATTTAAAAAGTTCACTTCGTACAGCAGAAATTATCTGTTGGATTCTTTAAATAGAACACATGCTGATGATGTAATTTGTTGCTTCCCAGTTACAAGCAAATAGGCTAATAAAACTCGCGCACTCATATTTGCTTCTGTAACCTGAATGAATAATGTAAGGGTATGTGTCACTTCAGTTGGTGCTGTTAAGGGAAAATGTGACGATACTATTTTGCTTATTTGAAAAACTGATAATTAACCATCCACCTAACAACCATTTAGTCTTTTTTCAGTTTTAATGCTTCCTTCTACTACTTTGAAAATGGTCCGTATGCAAGTATTTCTTGTATGCATAACAATTTTTTAGGAAAATAAAGTAATAGATAACTCAGAATAACTAAGTAAAAATGCATTTTTCCAAGCCATCTGAGCACATGCAAGTTTTAGGATACCGACCAGAGTCATGATAAGCCAAAGAATGTACATACAGTTAAGCTACTCACCATTTTAGTCCCATTTAATTAACCGTCTACATCATTGCTTGTGTGAGTAAAAAGAAGCGCAATAAGAAAGCTGTTATAAAATTATTCGCTACCTATAATGCTTGGAGTTGACTTAATCATAATTTGTAAACGATTACAGAGTGAACACCAATTACAGATATAATTAGGTGATTGTCCGGAAGTCAAACTTGTTTGTTGGCTTTTTCAAGAAGTTATAGACGATAAATTTGGTGATTCACTTTCATTGAAAATAAATTAACAATGATGTTTGTCGGCGTAGATTATAGATAGAATATTTCAATCTAATTTTGCAATTCGATAAAAAAAATTCTGTTTCTTCCTATTAGTACAACACTAGTGGATCACTCTAACATAAGATATAGAAATAAAGCAATCACTTCACTCATCTATGCAATAATGATAATTCGTATCTAAACTAAAAAACGGTAGGGAAAAGTGTATATTCAATAATTATTAGTATCGTAATTTGAAGTCACTAGTCATAGGTTGGTCTTCACGTTCAGAAAAACCAAATAACACCAATTGTGGGAAGAACATTTGAAATATTCTGATCGCTTATAGATATAAAATCTAACTGAATAAAATTGTTACAGAAAAAAAGTACCACAAACTGAAATGGTTGTCAAGTTCTCCCATAAGTTCGGAAACTTCAACCTGCAGTAATTTAAGAATGTTCTAATTAACTAGACTCATGGAAACTCTAAGAACCACTGTACATATAATTGATTGTTTAGTTGCAAGAGTATTGACTAATGTCATATTAGTCTAATCCTTTCAGTTCTGATTGAATTCGCATTCAAGTTGTAATGAGCTAGTCTAAGTGACTTTACATTTAGTTTTCTGTAGACTATCTCCAACCACCAAACAATACTGTGAATTTATGCAGAAATTCAATTAGAATAAACAGTTGGAATAAACTAGAAAACTATACTCAATATTAATTCAAATAATAATCAATGAACAGATTCTAAATATTTATTTGATGAAATTCGCAGTCCAGGTAAAGCGGTTTATTGATATAATCGCGTTTATCACTACTAGATAATTCTAAACAGAATATTGAATAGTAACTAACTTGTTGAATTCATATTTATATTAAGTGAAGCAATGAACCGGATCTCTGATGATAATCTCATAATCGCTCTTTTATCTAACTGACTGTTCTAGACTATATAATATATTAGTAAATCGTAATAAAGTCCACGAAATACGGAACACAGGACCATAAAAGCAGCGGGAAAAAAATAATTGATCTAGTTGACACATGTAATTTTTCACGAAAAGAGGTGAAGTAACAGTTAGCTTTGTGATAGGCTCAGCCATTGCAGTCATATCATATTAATATGCTTACATGGTAAGTGACGAATGTTGCTGCGTGAATTCTACAGCTCTAGATGCGGTTCGATTACCCAAGAGACTCCAAGAGAATCACTTTGCGTGCACAGTTGATTCAGTAAGCCAAAACAGCTTACTATTACTCATTGTCTAGTCGTTCGGACAGTAATTTGGGCTTGCAGACAAAACGTACATATCAGTGTCGGAAGCAGACAACCATTCAACACAACAAATCAATATCGCACATGCTTGCAATCAGATGCAGAAAACACGACTGGTGATGGATGAAAGAGACAGTTTAGGCCATGATTTACCAATGTTTAAGCATTACGTTTCAGTGATCATTAAGACTACTATGATTATGACGATATGAAAACTAACTGTATCGTATTTGTTAATTTTATGAATTCATTTGCAACATGTTAGATATCTAGTGCAATTTATTTATATAACAAAAGATCTGTATTGTTTCAAAAGCCTTTAGCAATTTTTAATCTAGTATGATGATGACAAACGAATGAGTCTTCATCACAACATAACAAATCTTAAAAAAGTATTCATAATAGAAGTCGATTATAATTTATCTTACGGACTTTCGTTTGGGCAAACTTAAGTTTTTAATTTTTTTCTAAACAGAATATATAAACTAACTGACAATAAGATCTACCTATAAATGATTTTTGTTCACTAACTTACAATGTTCATGATGTGAATTTAATTCATTTCAAGTTTGTAATAATACAGTACAATATCTACAGAAATGTTATCCAAAATACATGACAAATTATCATAAATTTCAGTTTAAAAAAAAAACAACTCATTCGGAACAAGACAAAGAGAACTAGTAATTAAGAGATAGTAAGAAAACTTAAAATAAATTAAGCAATATTATTTTATTTTTATTATAACAAGATAAAAATGAACGAATTTACATTATATATGCATATGTACTCCGTTTTTATTTTATTAATCATATTTTTATGCATACAAAATGTGTAAACAGATGACTTTATTCAGCAGATTAATGAATAACATCAGAAAGAAACTGTAAAAGCAGAAAAAATATGAATTTACTGAGTGTAATGTGTAATGTGCAATAAATGACCACAAGATATTTATATATGTGTGATGAATTCAATAGAATATAGAAAAAATCAACAATTTTCATTCGACCAATAACAATTATGAAAATAGAAAAAAAATTCAAAGTTGAACTGCTTTTTTCAAAAAAGATTGTTTACAAAGCTATTTTAGGCACAAATGAAAGTAATACAACGGTCAACCATTTCATTTAGTTGGTGAAAAATTCAATAAACAATATGGCGGGATTGTAAAATAAAATAAAAATCAACAAGTCACTAAGCAACTGACTTTCACAGTTTCCATGCATGTATGACGATGAACAGTCAGGAAAAGACACTGTAACAAATTTCGAAAATAAAAGAAATTTTTAATATTAACAGTAAATAATTTTTCAAGAATGAGTCAGTTAGAATATTTCAGGTTACCATGATTGATAGCATAAACCAAACCGTACAACTTAATACAAAATTATCTGCTGGAAACTAAGGATAACTCTAAACTGGTCATCACTAAGCCATTGAGGCTAATAACTGGTGAGTACGTAATTATCTCTTTCCGCGTTCAGTACAAATGAATATGATATGACAACTATCTGACCGTTACTACGATTATAATAAGATAAAAGTATTGTTTATGTCGATTTCAATGTTGTCAAATGTAAGTAGTAATAAAACTACGATTTTAAAATACTGAAGACTGTGGTAGAGAAAATTATGTCTGAACTAATTTAAAATCTATTGTCAAGATACTCAGAATCTATTTCACCAATATTAAACCCTAAATAAAATTCTCTATTTCATTGTTCATTTGATTTGTGCATTACGAAGCTGCAGCTCAAGTGATTGATTAGAAACGCAATTGAGTAGCAATCCCTAACGCCAACACGTAAATGTATGTCGTAATGTTGACTGCTGCAATAGATACGTAGTAAATGAGTAAATCTTATTCATTTAACTTGTACATTACAAATTATTGAGTATTGAATAATCTAATTCACAATATCTCATCATTGTTAGTGAAATGAGTATATCAAATAGCTAATATTAGAGATTCCGTTGGCAAGATCGTTGATATTGATGTAAAACATTAACTAAAGGTGCTTAGTTTTCATACTAATAAAACAAGTAATTTATTTGTGAATAAACAACTACATTAAGTAAGATGTCAGTTATCTTGTTTTTGAATGACTGATGTTGATAAGATTTTCTTTTCTTTTGAGAGAGAGAGAGATTGAATATGTCCAACAACCAAGAACAAAAACAACTGAACTAAATGACTGCATGGAACAATAAGTAAGACCAATTCCATCCACATATAACAGTATACAATAATATCAATTATTTATTATTTAAAACAAAATTTCATGCTTACCAAATAGTTTATTGACACACCGGAGATAGATTCTGTGTTTTGTTTTTTTTCACTTGTTCTTCAGTCATGTTGTTGTCTGTTCACATCTATTATTTATTTTTTAAATGAACAATTCAATGCAGCATATAAGATTATGAAAGTAGAAATAAATAATTAAACTAATTTGCTAATGAAGAAGACAAAAATAATAAAAAGATACTAATAAGTTAACTATTACTGAGTACAAGTTCCAAATACTAGGAAGCGAAAATACAACATACCTTACACACAAACACATCATACATTTTAAGATATTCCAAAGAGAAACTAAGCAAACGAAACTACAATTAATAAAACATAAAATTTACGAAGTTGTTTATTCAAAATTGTACTCCTTACAAAAATGTTTATTAAACAATTGAATTGGTTTTTCTAGAATAAATCCAATTCAAAATGAATGAAGCCAGCAAATTAAAGCCAATAGATTAACCGAAACATGAGGAAATAGAAAAACATACAATAAACACTTGCGGTGTAAATCCATAACTTGAAAATTATTTATTGTTTAATTTTCATTACTATTGAATTAGTTAACTAGACTAAATAAAACAAGTGTCATTATTATATGGAGGGAATATAATAATAATAATAATAATAATAATAATAATAATAATAATAATAATAATCCACACTGATTATACTCGTACATAACAGTCTTGATATTTTTCCATTATATCACACGTAATGCGACGTAAAAATAGACATTCAACAATCTCCACAATGTTCCAAATTAACATATTATAAATTGAGTATATATTGTGAAGTTCTTCAAGGATATTATCAAGCTATTTTGGATAAATTTAGAAGATATTTACTTCGATGCATAGAAATGATATGAATCTATTGTATAGTAGATTCTAATGAATGTTATTAGTTAAGATGATTTACATCAATTTACATCAATTTAGTATTCCTTTTTTTTCTAAACAACACACTAACTGTTTACTATGATAATTTCATTATTAATCAACTGATATATTGTATTGTATTAACTTGGACCAATAAACACGTCTACTACAAGATCTTATAATAATTATGAGCAGTAATTTATCTTGGCACTTGATAGAAACTCTATATTGTCATTGAAATAAACTATTCAGCGATGATGACAATATTGAAAAAAAAATTTTCATGATAATAAAACAAACATAGAATCCACAAAAACAATCTCAATAACTTTTTCGTAAGATCAGATGAATGAATGAAACAATTCAGTAAACTTTGCGCACTGCTGAGGAGTCCCATACTAGGACGAAACGGCCGTCCAGTGCTTCCAGGTTTCTAATGGTGGTCTAACAATGATGATTGACTAATGATTTCAAATGTGTAAAAACGCAAACCTCCAAAACTGTGCCCCAATATATTGATTATAATCATTATAATTATTATTGAATTTTCATAGCTGAAATTATACAGACAGATAAATTTTTCAAGTTACAAACTACTGTTATATTCATTCAAAATAACCCTGTTGTTTGTATAAGGATAAAGTGAAAAAAAAGTTATAATTGTATATTCTGTGATTTTGTTGCTTTGTAATCATAGCACAACATCGAATGATGATTAATGACAATTAGAATGGAAAAAATACCTAATATAATGTATGAATGCATTTATTTTGTTTAGCTGAGAATAATATCAATAAAAAAAAAGTCTATCTACCTTCGGTTGTTCTGTAAGAGAAACTCGTCGTCACATCACCGCTACCACTCACAGAAGTAACAGCTGATCCATCAGTATTATCGAAATTCATACGTTGTTGATCAATTGTATGCTCAGCTTGGTAAGTTGAACCACTAAGTAGATTGACATTAATAATTGGTGCATATCGTTTTTCTTTGGCAGCAAGACGACTAACAATGATAGGAGGTTCAAAACCAACCTCTTCTAGACCAGATGCTACAGATGGCGCCCGAGGTAAATCAGAAATCAGATGGTTATCTACTGGATTCAATGACGATGGAGTAACGTTGTCCATTTGACGGTACGGATTCAATGATGATGGCTGAAAGTGAATAACAAATAAGTTCCATTTAAGGGGCATGAAATTATTGGAATTAGTATATAAATCCTCAAAATTACACTGAAACTTAATGCAAATAAAGCGGCATAATGACTATATGATATGATCAACGTCTACATGTGTGGAAAACATTGAAACACAAGCCAGGACGCATTGCTTCCATGTTTCTTATGGTGGTCTAACAATGATTGATTGATGATTACAATGTGTAAAAACACCGATCTCATTCAAAACATTGTAAAGTGTGCTCACTAGTGACTACCTTCGTGAGGAAATCCTCGGAGTTCTAGTGAAAAGACGAGACACGAGGAGTTCAACCCTGTCGGGTGTAGATAGTAACTACCAAAGACAGATGGGTGAGGTCACGCAAAATCTCCAGATTCGTCAGAGTTAGATATTAACACAGTTAAATGTCGGCCCAGTGGTCTAGAGGTGAGGCGTTCGCGAGCAAGACCGAAAGTCCTGATGTTCGAATCCTGCGAGGTGCAGGAGTCATGGATGCGCACTGCTGATGAGTCCCATACAAGGACGAAACGGCGGTTCAATGCTTCCAGGTTTCTAATAATGGTCTAACAATGACTGGTTGGTGATTCAATATGTAAAAACACTAGTCTCGATAACTATAATTGAAAATATTGAAAATAATCCTCAGAGAAGAGTGAATAATTAACTATTATATTTTTTCTTCAGTTTCCCAATATAAATTTATTTGTAATTGATTGTGTGTACCACATGGATGTTCGAAGCGTGGCTGCAGAAAATATCGAGCGATTTGGATAAATAAAAAAAATTATGTATCATTGAACAGACAATACCCTGAATCTATTATGAAAATCAGAAGCACCAGGACATGTTTGCGACATAAATACAGGAAGTCATAAAAAACACTTTTAAATACTAATTTTAAAAAAACGTACGTGATCACTGCGTTGAGGAATATTGCTACGATAAACTTGCATATTGTTAGGGTGTAACATTTGTTGATTGCTGCGGCTTGTAGAAATCATAACCTGGTTATTTATCCCATAACTAGGCGAGGATTCAGGAACAATTTGAGGTTGGTGAACTAATTCTGACATTTCTGGATAAGCTAGCCGCGTTACTTTTGATACAGAAGTGTTTTGAGCAGCAACATAATCACCTTGGGTGGGAGGGTTAGTAGTGGAAATAAACTGACCAGGAGCATGTGGACTCATCGAAGAAATACCAGGAGTGGCTGGTGTCAAAATTCTTGACCCACTAGGTGATACTTGGTCTGGTCTAGTTTGTGACTGTTGATAAAACACTGTCGGATGCTGAGCAGGAACCTGCTGCGAAAAATAAGTATGTCTCATTGACTGCTGCTGGTGAGGTTGATTTTGCGACGATACTGTATGGTAAGGATCGTGAACTGAAGTATGCTGCTGCCACAATGGAGTATTAATATAGTTTCCATATGGTTGACAGTGGGACTCGTTGGGTTGCTGGTGGACAAGGTTGCCACTAGATTGGTTCATAGACGTATAAACAAGTCCCGAGCCTTGCTGTCCGCTAGTGGGCTGCGAAAGAGAATGACGAGACATGATATGTTCCTGTTCCTGTTGAGCAATATGAAGTTGTTGTTGTTGCATGAGCTGTTGATGATGTTGATGTTGAACTTGACGTTGATGAACTTGTTTAGCTAGAATTTCTTTAAGACGCTGACGTTCCAACTCCGTACTTGAATAGTTACCTTGTTGTGCATGAGACTGTTGTTGAGAACCAGCATAAGTGCTAACAGAAGAGCCTTGCTCAACAGCAACTGGTAAGGAGGATGAAACATGTTCACTAGTTAAGGACTGTGGAAGCATATTTGTTGAATAAACAGACTGAGATATATCACCTTCTGATGACATCCTACTGACGTGCATTCCGGAACTACCCACAATAAAAACATTTCCTGGATTTGTCGGGCCAGAATGAGAAAGCATACCAACATTACCTGGCGACGTTCCAGCGCCAGGAGTTGCAGGCGCAGAAAACGTGTTCCCAGGACCACATAACTGACTATTCGGCGTACCAGGAGTAGCAGGATGCGAAGCAGCAAAAGAATGATTTTGTTGTCGACTAACTGGACTTTCGGATGGAAGTAAATTCTGAAATAAGGTGAAAAGTTCCAGAACGTTATCGATAACTAAGATGTTTGAAAAACAAAATTCTATAAATAAAACTGAAAGATTAAGTATACAGTCCATAAGTAATAATGAGAAGAAGACTAGGTAACTAACATGACTGAATATATCAGAGAAACTATGGAGCTAAGGAAACTCAAGTAAAAAGTGATAGAATATAAATCTAAACCACTATCCAATTACTGTACACTATTTAGATGAAAATAACATATTTGATGATTGAAAAACGAAGGGAACCGAACTGACCACTGCATATCAATGAACTACCATAAATTAGCTAGCAAAGTTATCAATTTGAGGTATATTAGTGCTACGGTTACATGCTATGCTATGGTTACATCAACCAAAGTAGTTAGAGTAAGTAGCAAAATCTCAACAAAATATTTAGAGGTGGCTATACTAATAAAGCAATAATTCACCTCTGCTCTCAAGTATGATGAACTACTGCGATGATGATGACTGGGATTCTGAGGCAAAACAGTACAGAAAAAGTATTTGGAAAACATACTCAACCGTAATTTTAACAAAATTAGTTAATCACCTGAGAAGTGAGATGATGACCGCTAGGTATAACTGTATGAAGCGACTGTGAGACAGGAGAAGGATGTGATGAAGACATCGCCGTCACCGTTCCAGCGTTGCTACTCCTCATTAACTGGTTTATATTAGACGGTGACTGTGGAGGAGCAGGTGACTGCGCTGGACTAGTTAGTGAACTTGCACCATGTGGGGGATATGGATGAGGAATATGAAAAGAGTTTGGAGTAGGAGCATGTATTGAAGCAGGTGATCTTATAGGTGCAGGAGACATTGACGAACAAACAGGTGGCGGTGTTGGTTGTTTCAGATTACCAGGAGAATTCACACTTGCAGATCCTGTGTTCAATGAATTCATATTTCCTGATGGAGGCCAAATAGGTGGAGGTGGTGGTAATGATGTTTGGTGACGAGATGGAGGTCTAGAATTTACAGGTGAAGCCATGTAAGAAGAAACTGGTGATGGTGTTGTTAGTCCGATCACTTGTTGGTGTTGCTGAGGTGGAATGTTACCAGATATGTTTTGTTCGGTGTTAGAGAACGTCAATCCCTGATTTGAAGGAGGCTAGGAATAAAAGATATATTGACTTTAAACAAATAACGAACATTAAAATTGAAGAAGCATAATAAACTAGTGTCCTCTGGAAACGAATTTGTATGATTCAATCAACTAACTGATGGAGTTCAATTAAATATTAAACGATTTTGCAAGATGGAAAGTCCAGTGACATACATAAATTCTGTTTTAAGTACGATCTGGAAACAATATTTAAAAGCAGACGTCAATGTTATTGTAAACTGCGTATAACGCACCGACACAGACGGTTTTGTGTCATTTGTGTGGGACCTAATCTCCCTTAGTAGAGGATATAACACAATATTGATCTTTTAAAATTTATTTATTTATAGTATGATTTTCGTTTGCATGAATTATATTCCTTTTTTTTGGGTGCTGCATTTGTTGATGTCCTATTGTAACTATCTTTTTATGTGTAACAGTTAAATATTCAATTTCACTGACGAATCCTAAGAAATTACTAATCTTATAAATTTTGGGAACTTAATGTTAATACTTTATTCCATAATAACATAATGTGCCAGATTACTTCGATACTCCAAACTTTTGATACTTAACATATCCGATTCAATTTATCTAAAACTGTGAAAACAAGTTGTTACTACTGGGCAAATTCTATAACATGAATCGAACTCAGTAGCCATTTGCCAATTCATGTATCTGGCTTTCAGTTATACCACCCAACCATTACAAAGCAGCAATCGGAAGTCGAACACAAATGATTGGTTGATGTATACTTAGGAATATTCGCAAAGAAATTGAAAATTAGAAATGATAACATATCTGAGGCAACCAGTAACATGATATTCTCATGAGTACAATTAGAGTAATTGATTCAGTGTTGCAAACCAATCATTCAACCAGTGAATAACAAAAAAATCTTACGATATAAAAACATGTGAAGCATAGTAACAGAATAATAAAATACACCAAACTCTAATTAAAAGATAAAACGTTCCAGAAAAATAAGTAAAACCTAAACGATTATTCACAGAAGGATAAATTTCTTTGATATTCTAAATACACCTTATTCAGTCAAATTTTCAACTGTTTTATCAAAAATTTCCTTATTCGATGAAAATACGACAAGATTTATTTGTAAACGACATCTTATAAAAAGTTTTTATTGTACACAAACAATTAGTCACCTTGTTTATTGCCTGATGATGAACATTAACAGAATCGCCACTACTATTAGTACTTGAAGTTAAATGAGACGACAGAATACGGTCCGGGATATAACTGTTGTTTGTGATTTCAGGGGTTAACGACCTATGTAGCTCTTTTGTTTGTTGTGGTGAATTCGCATTTATTTGTTGTTCCGACTGAATATGATGAGGTGTACGATTTTGCGGACGTGCATACGTTGAAGGAGATTCTATAGGATAAGATAAATCAGAACCAGATTGTAAAGGTATTGTTTGATTGGTTAGTGTACTGGGTTGGCAATACGGCTGCGTAGGCGGTATTGAATTAGCGATCCCTACGGAACTCATAGTTGTAGGTATATTCGTTTGATTCGAACGCAATGTAGTTCGGTTGTTGCGAGCTTGTATCTGAAATATAAACAGACAAATGGAGTTAATATAATAATCTTCCAGTCAGTAGAAAGATGATAACCAAGTATAACACTTCACATGCATTTGAGCTTGTTTACAATTAATTTGCTTAAGTCCTTTTATTAACTTATTTAACAAGGCATCATTCATACGGTAAAAACTTATCTATACCGTTGTATTTTTATTATTATTGAGTTTGTATGAGCATGTATGCTTGAGGATTGCTTACCGACTACGCACATATTCATTCTACTAGCTTTAATGTTAGTTGTTTAAATAATTCGGTAACAGTAACGACAACAATAATGTTGTATTTTCAGCATGGAATCTAAACAGCGAATTGTGATAAGCACTGGCAATTTAGAGTTACGGTTATCAGGAAGAACAGTATACGAAGTTGAGGTATATATCGAATATCCACAGCCACATAAGTAATGACAACAACACTAACCAGAACATAACCTAAAATTAATAAACCACTTACCACCCAAGTTCCACGTTCTTCACTCGAAAGCCTACGCCAGAGTTTGCTAATTTCTTTCGCACGAACAGTGAATTCGGGATATTGGCCACGCAGTGTAGGATGCGATATATTTGCATGCAACACTGGAGCAATTGTTGACTGACCACCTAAACGTTCATCTTCTTCCCATTTATGATAATTAATACGTCTACTAGCTGAACTGGAAACACTCGAATTGGAATTGGTCATACACAACTGTGCGTTGTTTGATGCTGTGCAAGGTAAAATATTTTGTTGATTTGGTCGATTTAAAACAACATGATGAGTATTCCCTTCCATACTGGGTGATCTCATAGGATCTAAAATACAAAAAATAATTGTCCTTTCACATTGAATTGTGTGACATCAAACAACACAAAACATCAAATCATCTAGATGAATCAAATACATGCGGAAAAAATAGTACAGAAGTCCATCTATAAAAACGACAAAGATAACTGTATAGAAAAACAAGAATAACATAAATGTATGGTACTCTTAGTATGCACCGACTAAACATTTAAGTCATCCTATAATTCCCTAACTTAAACTTCCTAATGTAATTCAAATCAACAAATCAGTCGGCTGCAACGTAGAACTGGGGTGCATATGTACATTAGTTTAGGTTGCTATTACCATAGATAAAATTACCACAGATAAAATTGTCAGGTCAAATTGCAAATGAGTTAAGATATCAGTTGTAATAGAGAAGGTTAGGGACTGAAAATAAGACTGAAATGAATTTTTATCACATTATGAGGAATTCAGAACAAGTAATGAAGGCAATAACAATTGTAAATTTTATTCAGTAAACATACTTACTGTATTGAACATCACTATACAAAAGTAACTGTAGTAGTAAGAAATGTGATATATCTATTGCCAGTCGCTTTACAATTTAAACATATAAACTTATACTTTCATTTATGATCTATAACATGTAAAAATACTATTCATATACTATTCTAGATGTATTGCATTATCAGTACTTGAAAGTAATGTGTATGTTAGCGGTTAAGAAACATCCAAAGAGACACTCACTTGATTAGGTTAGAGCAATTAAATGAAAGTAAAATACTAAGCGAAAAAAGACTACTTACCAAAATGAACTGCATATTCAAATCGATTTTATGAAATCTAGCTTATATTATCTGTATTTACGAAACTTCGAATTGAAAATAACCGATATATGTAAAAAAGTCAATTTTCACCCGATAATGATTAGTTTTAAATTAAAAAATTCTCTATTATACCCCTATTATAGGATATGAATTATTCATTTCTTGGTTAAAGTTTTAGTTCATGAATACTGTGTATTTAAAAAGAGTGATATAACTTACTAGGATTAATAACATTATTAGGATTTTGAAGTTCAGTAGAACATCTTAGAATCACCTCTTCAGAACCACTGTTGAAACGAAGAACCCCAGGAGACAAAGAGTTAGGATGGCCTGCAAACTGTCGAGAATTAGGTGAAGTGACATGGTCAGTCTGATAAACATGTACAGGCTGGTTGTGTAATCCACCCTGACCATGTACAATCATTTGTTGTGTTGGTGGAGTTCGTTGAGGTCCACTTGAGCCGTGCATAGGATGAGATACACATGGACGTTGTACATATTCAACTGAAGTGCTTTGTTGACAAATCGGAATAAGATGCTGCGTATCAATAGGTACATTTGGTTGTGGAGATGACATAAGTAATTGTGCTGAATTTGAACCTTGAGGAACGAGGCACTGTCCAGTTGCAGAAAGCATAATAGTCCCTTGATTAGATGAAATTAAACGAGAATGAGATTGCTGTTGTTGTTGTTGTGGCCACATACCAGGTCTTATTACTTGAGAAGGATATGGCGGTGGAGGTGGAGGAGTCATTGGGTTAGGAGATTTGGGTTGAAGAGGTTGTGGAATGAATTTGCCATGACCACTAACAACTGAAAGATGCTGTTGTGGTGATTGGGGAACTGGGCTTTGTAAAACAATGGGAGAACTGGACTGACGTTGAAGTTGCTGATGTTGTTGTTTTTGGGGTTGGGTTAACACGTGTCCAGGGACAGGAACAAATTGAGCATAGAAGTATGAAGGCTGTGAACCTCTTATCTGTACTCGACCACCTAAAATATAAAATGACAAATATCTGTAGAATAACTAATATACACTGGTCTCTGTAACTACATTAAAAACGAGATGATCGAATATATATATATATATATATATATATATATATATATATAATCTGCAGCAACAATACACAAGAGAAATGTAGAAATTAAAACGAAAAAAACGCAAAGACTCACCCTGGGGATCAATATGCTGTTGTTGAATCGGTCGAACCTGACTTTGGGGTATTGGAACCGTCACGAGGGAAGAACGAGGAATCTGAGGCTGTTGAACATTGATTGACTGATTGCCTGTTTGATATTCTCTGTATTGATCTACAGGACATTGGGAATATGACTGACGGACTGAATCAGGATTATAATGAACTAAATTTTGCCGTTGTTGTTGTGACATGCGTTGAATAGAAACTTCAGGGGGTGGAGGTGTAGTACTCAAATCATTGCTAAATACAGCATTTGTTATTATTGACTTTGGACTATCGTCAGCTAAGTTGGGTTCACTAAGTTCAAAACCAATCGAAGGTCCAAGCTGCGTCTCAATATCACTAACTGATAATTCAGGCAGATTACCCGTTAGTGTATTTACACAATGGCGCGGATGAGGTCCAGGGACATTTCGTGAGGATCCAAGATCATGACCACTAGGAGTATCTCGAGGAGGCATATCATATGCATTTAATACAGTATTGTTTGCCGGGCAGACATCGACAGAGTCAACTAGTTGGTTTAGGGATCTTTCAGAAGGATCATGAACTGACTGTGCCCCAGTTTTACGGGCCTGCATATACAGAAAAAAAGATGATTCACAAAACATGCGAATAATCTGGTAAACATTCTGAGAAAAATTCACTACTAATCTATGTTTAAAAATCTATAACGGTTTGAAAAGAAACTAGTCAACTTACCTGTTGTTCCTGAATAACTAGATGAGACTGTTGTGATTCTAGAGGTACAGCACGCTGCATATTGCGAGGACGCTGGTCTTCAACCTGCAAATAAGCTGTCGAGGGATGACCCAAATATGGTGATTTCTGATAATGAGGTTTGTTAGCAGAGCCAAGATGAGTTTGTTGATTTTGATTGTCAAAAGGCGAACTTATCAAATCTTGCTGTGCAACGAATTGCTTTAAACACGTTCCGTCCGAGCTATTAGTCTCTTCCATTCTCAAGGGCTCCGAAACGCGTGACTGGTAGACAATTTTATCAGAGATGACGAATCTTTCAGACGACTGTAAATTTTGATTATTTTGTGAATATATAAAAGACACATGACCTGGACTTTCATTTGACACCGGTTGCTTCAACTGATTCTTTGAATGACCTACAGGCAAAGGACTTAGAGCTTGTAGTCGATCTGTTACAGGATCTGAAGATACTTGTTGAGGAGTTATATCATTTAAGTCAGTTTCATCTGTTGAAGCCAAATCACTAAATCCAAATAGGTAATCATCCATAAACATAAGATCTGCAGCTTCATTTAAACCTGGTGATTATAATTGAAAGTAAAAAGGAATTAATTCCGAGTCATGCATAACTAGTAAACAAATGGTATTTTATGGACACTAACTAGTATATGAACTGGTATAGATAAGAATCTAAGTTATGGAGATGGATAATCAATTGCTTGATACATATTTCATTCAACATTGAGCAGGTAAGATATACGATTATTAACAATAAGCATATACGTATAATATATCTTAAGAAAAATAATAAGCACATCATAACCGTCTAAAACACAGAAACACAGATTTCGCTATAAATAACACAGTTAAATACATAGTGATATCAGTGTGACAACTATATGAAATATATCGTGATCAAACTTATGTATTATTGTGGTTCTTTAAAAGAAACTAAAGTACGTTTCTGTTATGCTCGTCGATTAATATGCTTGAAACTATTACGAGATCACCTTATTCGGTAAACGAGAGCGAAGCAAATGATCCAGCAACACGATAGGTTACTCTAATCCTAGTGTTCCAAGGCCCCACTAAGTAGAGGAAGACGTCTTGATATGTCATAGAAAGTGTATTCCACAAGCACCCAGTAAATCGAGGTAAAAAAGCACACAAATCGAGTTAATTTATACATGACAGAAACGACCTTGGGAGAGCGAACTAAAATAACACATCAACCAATGACAGTCAGGGATTTTCCGAGTGCGAAATGTAATCTCAAGGTCAACTGATCAGCCTATGCGCGGAACCGTAAAATCCAAAAATAGCACGTTTATCAACAGAGTCCTGAAAAATTTTGTTTTAAAAACATTAAATGGACAGAAATGGGAGTTGGCATAATATAATTTTGCACACTCGATAGTTTTTTATTATTAGATATTAACAGAATTACTTGGATTTTCAATCATTTAGTTTCAAGATAAGACAGCCTAGTAAAACCACTAGCTCCCTCCACATAAAGCGTAGCTCTAAACAAAGAACGGGGATTCGCACAAAGTTCAATGAACCTGAATCAAATTTGAAAGTTTCCTTACATTTTTGAGAACAGAAAATAATTTCCAATTATTATTTCAGCACTACGAAAACCAGTCCCAAACTAAATTTAGCATCATGATGTAATGTAATGATTTTCATATCCACTGTCCATACTGTTAAATGAGCATTATAACTGCCTTAATGCATCTAATAAGCTTCTTACCAGTCAGCCATATAAATCTTTAAATATAGTTAATATAATTTTTTTACGTTTTTAAGTGTTTGTAACAAGGACGCTTGATTAATTATTATTTAGATGAGATTACATATTTATCATAGTCTAGTATGAGCAGTTTGTCGTTCGGAGAAGAATTCAAACATTCAAAGGTACTGAAAGTGATTCGGCAATGACTTACTCTCCGCTTCGAATGAGATAGAAGTTAATCAATTAAAGATAGCTACGTGATAGGTCAATTAATTTTGTTATTATATATATGAAAATGAAAATGCAGAAACTATCAAGGAGGAAAACGAGGTATTATTGAAGGTTGTACCTTACAGAATAGTTAATCATAAATGATAATTCCAACTAAATTATTAAAAGCTACTAGATCTAAAGAAATTATAAAAAAATTCATTCAACGATCTACTGAATGTTATCACTAATTAAAAAAACTCACCCGCTGGAGTAGTAGCCTGGGTAACTGAATTAACATTTTGCCCGACCAAGCTAGTTGTTACAGATAATTCTGTCGACTGTTCCTGGGGTGATTGCACCGACAACAAATCAATATGAGGACTGAGTTCTTTATTTGATGCATGTACAACACTTGTAACACCAGCTGTTTCAACTGATATAGTATCAACAGATTGATCCAAAGAAGAAACCAGATTTTGTGACTTCGGGCTGGGTTGACTAACGCCTGCTGAAGTTAAGCGAAGGTTATCTTGTGAATTTGAATTAACTGGATGACACGATCTAGGCGGTATGGAATGGTTGTTATTATTGAAGTCAACTACGGAAGGTTCACGAGAAACACCTTCGTCTACACTAACATTTTCGGCGTTGTCATTTTGAGTTTTTAGTATATCCGACTCAGTAGAGCTTTCAGCCATTTTTATTTCCGACACTCTTTCAGTTAATTGATGAGCAGCAGGATTCAATGTAGCCGATAAATCTTCTTCTTCTTCATTGTCTAATGCTTCATTGTCCATTTCATCTTCTAGATCCTTGAGTTCATCAAAATAGCATAGATCCTCATCAACGTCATCATCCTCTTCATATTCTTCATCACCCTCATCGACATCATCATCTTCATCGATCTCTTCAGCACAAATTTCAAACTCTTCGTCCCTCGATCCTGATTCTATCCATTCCCCATCTAAACTACAATCATCTGATTTGGGTCGACTTCCGAGACGGGCAACATTACACTTTTTTATGTGTGCTCCACCCTAACATGGAAAAAGAATACATGTATTGATAAAATAAGCATGCAATACATTATTAACTGATGCAATCAAACAAACAGTAAAATAGAATTTTATCACTGAATGCTTACTTTGGTTAGTTTAGAAGAACGAACAGAAAGAGAAAATCCACCTTTGTTCTGTTTGATCCCACTTACAAACTCGGTACCGACTACAGGTTCCTGTGATGAGCTAACTGGACGTACGCGCTTTTTCTTTCTCAGTGGTTTTCTCTTAGCAGAAAGCAGACATTCTCCGTAAAAAGCTTTCATCAAATAATTAGGATAATTGTCTTCCAATTCAGATTTCTTTTTGTTCTGACGTTTACGTTTATTGTCAGACGTGAGAGGACCAACGAACTGATCAGATGCGGCCGCAAGTTGTATCTTTTTAGTCTATATTTAAGATGAAGCGATTAAAAATTCAGATCAGTCAAGTCAAATTGTGTAAAGATAACAAATCCTCCAGAAACTCTACTCATTTAAATCTTGGTACAAAGGGACAACCAAAAGAATTATGCTTCACACTTAAAAACGCAAAAAGGAATATTCAATAAAATAAGACATACTTGCAACCAACGATTAGGTTTAGCTCGAAAACCTCCAATACCAAGATTTTTCAATGGTCGATTACGACTTGTGGCAGTTTTTCCGTTCGCTGATACAGAACCGGCGGAACTATTACGACTGATGCATAATGAAGTACGCTAAATTAATTTCAGAGAATATTTATAAAAAGTTATAGAATAAAGCACATTTAAACAAAACAAAATATTTCACTTTAATAGGAAAACGACGCTTTGTCAGTTAACGGGAAAAGCTTTCTAAACAGGTTTTGCATTAAGAATGATTTTCATCCAAGATGTTTAGTAGATGAGTGGCGCATCAGGTTTCAAGAAACTGCAAACACTGATAATATGAAATATTAAGTTTCGAAACTAGTTCTATGCCTCTTCATCAGCAGTTGAAAAGCACCTTGTAATATCTGCCTAACTAGTAAATAAATAAGATCTTCCCCCATCTTCTGTTGCCAGACATTACGTTGACACTCACGTCATATACTACTTATAAGTAGCTCGCATCACACTATGTTTAGTAGAACTTTCTATTAAAAATAGCGAATTAACCAATCATCAAATAAAATCACGAAGTTATCTGGTGTATTAACCATAATTCGTGTCAAAAAGATAACATTTAAAAGATTGGAACCATTCAAAAATATTAGTGATATCCAACTAATAAACATTGGACATACATTCACAAAAATAAAAAGATCAATAAATGAAGGTAAGGAATAAGTTTTTGTTGAACAAAGAGAATCAATGAAAGCAGAAAAACGTTGCTTGAGGAAAGCGAAATACCAACAAAACCAAAAACACCATTGAACTAAACTTAAACTTGAAATTTGAATACTGTACATAAATTCAAATACAACTAACAAATTTAAACGAAATTATTAATGAAACGATCATTTTAAGACGAAACAAATCAATACAACTCATTAGTCAAACCTTATCCCGACTGAAGGTTCTTCTGGTCTGAAATAGTTATGAATGAAAGAATGACAGTTCCTACAGACAAGTAAATCTTATGACGGTCAAGATTACCTTAAATAAAGGACAGCAGACTAGTAAACTTGAAAAATAAATATGGTATAAAATTGTGATAGTATGATAAAATATACGTGGGACAATAATTAATCAATTATCTGGAAGACAATACTTACTCTAATAAGAAAATAAAAATGTTAGCAAGATGAAAACAAAATAATAGGAATTTGCAATTCGGCTGGAAAATGCTAGTTATAAGCGAAAGTAAGCAAGCGATTCGGTGATTTTAGACGAGATATGCAACATCTTTAACGTTTATAGGTAATCGCACTTCGAAACGCTTTGTTTAGGGACTAATAACACAGCTCGATGAGTAAAGTAGATAGTATGTATGAGTAGAGAGCTTGTATTAGCTTAATGTACTTCTTTCGTACACCTTTTATTGACAGACACTGCCACAGAACCTCACGATTGACAGAATCGAATCTCGCTCAAGTTCGAGAAATACCACTATTGTCGGACTCCAGAACGTATGTCTATATTCTTGAACTTGACGTAGTGTGAATATTTGTTCTATACATCCACGTCCAGGTGACCAACAAGACTGGTTTTCTCTAGTCTGCTCTTCATGAGTTTTCGTTAAACGTCAGAGTATTATTGAGGCCAATATTTTAGATACGATACGTGCCACATGTGCCACAGAACAAGCGACAGTCTTCTAGGGAACAATTACAAGGGTGGCTGGTAGCGCACTGCTCTAGTAGGGTCCAGCGTTGAGGGTCAATATATCAAAAGATTTTTACTCTTGTGGTAAGAAATCTAAGGTTATCTGAGCAAAGCTGCAATAGAGGGTCGCCATTATCTGCTCGGTCAGTCGCCTACGTGTCTTTCCTTTTTGCTGAGTCTACCTACTAGAGCATTAAAGTCACCTGTCACTACTACAACATCAGAATGCCTAACTTTCTGAATGAGGTTGGAAGGATGAATGTAAAACTTATCTTTTACTTCATCTGAGCTGCAGTCAGTGGAGCGTAGGCAGATACGACGAAAAGGTGAAGGCGAGTGTCCCCATTTTTCCGAGTCCTTACTGTCCCATTTAGTCGGATAGTGCACAAGTGACTGTCTGCAGGGACCCAGTCTCAGATGGCTAGTTCTGCCCTAGAACTTAATACCATATCAACACTAGTGAGGCCCCGGGAAGCAGAAGTAGGGCTTCCAGAAACCAAAACAGTAAATCGAGTTGGGTATTTATTTTGACATGGTAAGGTCAAATCAATAACACTATTCGGATCCTGTATACGCGTTTCGGAGACTCAGCATACATCGGTGGCACAAGGCTCGAATATTAAAAGGGTTTCAGAAGACCAGGAATAACGTTTCAGGAACTCGAGTCGTTCGCATACCGGTACCGGGTGATAACTGCATATGAGAAGGGTTAGTCGTGGAGACGAGAGAAATGTTAGAGAGTGTAGGAAGGATTTGACTTTGACCAATTCGGTCTCGTGGGTTGTTACTGGTATGAGGGTGGATGTCAGTTCCCAGAAACCCATAGCGTCGAAGGGTATTTCTTGAGAGACGTGAAAAGGAAGTTGGATTAGTGTTAGTCTAAGAGACTCGAGAGTGTAACTGCAGAGCCCATGGGATAACTGCTTGAGACCGGTCATGCACATCCTTTTTATGAGAGGTTTTTTAAGTATAAGCTCCTATCTTCTTTAAAAGGCCTTACCGCCGGAGACGGAATCCCGTGAGGTAAGGTGAGGTGTGACATTTTGAGGGTCGACCTTTTCTAACCCCTTCCTTCCTTGTGAGAAAGAAGCATCGTTGCAGATGCTTACATTACTCCTATCACACCCCTCCACAATCAGCAGTACGACTTCGCCCTCAGACGTTAAGTTGCTGCATTTAGTGTTACCGCTCTCCAATCGACCTGCCTGGCATGATAGAATCTACAGTAACAAATGTTCCAGACGATATAGCTCGACTGGGTCATCATGACAATCAAGTTCGACCACCACGTCAAGGTAGCAAAAAATAAAACAAAATATTGGAATAAGTTCAGTGATAGCACAACGTCAGAGTAACAATAAAATTAATCTATATAATTCAGTATTATAAGACCACAATAGTGATAACAATAAACAATAACTCGTCACTGTGGGGTTATGGAGAGTGAGCTTGTCTGAAATTTTGCATCAAAAGATGTTCCACTACCAATAGAAACCCGGAAGCACTGAAAAGCCGTTCTGACCTTCTATGGGGTTCACGAGCGAGGATCGAACCCGGGAACTTCGGTCTCGCGCGAGATATGGGTTAGCACCATTGATGAGCCCCACACTACAACGAAACAACCATCTAGTGCTTCCAGGTTCCCAAAGGCAGTTAATCATTGATCAATTCATGGTTTAAATGAATCAATAATCAGTATTTAGGTCTTATATCAAAAGAAAAGTAAGAACCAATTCCACAGATATGGGAAATCAATACTAATTTTTGACCAGCACGCAACCATAAAGTATAACTTACTGTGCCATCTTGTAATGAACTACAGCCATCCTCTTCTGACTGTAGACTGGGAGATTTCAAATCAGGATAATTAGATAAATCGTTTTCTCCGTCTACTCCAGAATGCAGCGAAGCATCTTCATCAAACTAAAACAATCAAAAAAGACAAAAAAGTATTGGAGATATCCAAAAAAAGCAAGCGAACAAGTAGCAGATGATCACCAAACAGGAGTGATAGTTTATGTAAAGATAACTTTTAGAACAAATAGACTGGTTATTTACTAAACAAATAAAAGCTCGGTTTATTTAAAAAATTGATCACAGCTTATAGTAAGTTGAATCGAGTCAAAAAGTGTATGAAAAGCCAAAAACAATAAGATAATCAAAATGAATCAACTTTTATTAATATTGAAGTTAAAACATATCAAAAACCCTATTTAGATATACTCACATTGAGATAGTTCAAGTTCGATAATTTATATTCTTGTATTGGGAACGGGGTGGAAACTAAGGACTAGTATGATATCGACCAAATAGAAAGCGAGAAAGTAGTGCGATGAGGTTTGGGTTTTACAGGAAAATCTTTCTAAGTCTCATATCATATACAAAGGTTAATTAACCAATAATATATATAAGACAAAAACGTATTAAGAACAGTAGCCTATCAGGGTGCATAGAAAAATCAACGCAAAGTACAAACTCAAACGGAATTTTCTATGTATAATAACATATTTCTTTATTCGATGACATTATTTACCATAAGAAATAGTGATATTCTCATGATAATTCGCATTATAATGGAATGATTAAAATGTTAAAACAAATCAAGAGATTTTCTGTATATAACCTATTAAAGCAAACAGCTCTAAAACTTACCTGTCCATGAGGTCCGCATGGAGTTAGTTCAACTGGAGTACTGTCACCAACAGAACAAGCTAACAACAACAAAAAATATAATTGGAAACAATCAAGGATAAAACGGAAAAGAAAAAAAAACCTCAATTCTTATCGGAAATTTTATCTAAATGGCTATGTCAAGGCTAGTTCAAACAAATAATTTAACTATTACAAACACTAATAATTCCATTCAAGATTAATAAAGCTCGCTATATATAATTTTTCATACTAGCCGCATTGACATGAAGTGGCTTCTAGTCCAACCATAATAATGTGTTGCATAAAAAATCATGTTTTCTGAAAAAAACATTACCGAACGTCATATCTTCGGTAACATTTGAGTAGTATATCTACATCTATTATTCAAGCGATTACACCTCCACTTATACACTTACACTTGAAACGTGGAACAGATGCAATGCACCCGGCAGTGAAATCCAGAACGCCCACTTCGTCCTCTTTGGGAGTCGTCCACAGGGTGTATCTTCATCTCAGAGTTGATGTCTACCCGGGACTCCTAATTTTCGAATTTCAGTCGAAAAAATTAGCGGGATAATCCAAACCATTGCAAATAAAACTAAATACACTTGTAACTGTTTCGAAATTGCGTTAACGAAACCAATCTTAAAGTTCTGAAACATGAATTTATATTCTAGTATCCCTCTCAGGGTTTGAAAAACCGTTTATCATCAGTCTACAGACGAAAGGTGTAAGCATAATAGCAGATGTATAAATCTGTACATACAGATACTAATTTGCACTCTGATCATACTCATTATTTACAACACAACAAACTCGTAATACTAGACCCGCTGCCTAATGACAGCACTGCTTACTCGGCTGTCCGAGGATATACGAGCGATTATTCGGGTACACCTATGGTCGAAAACAAGCAACCTAAGAATATCCTCTACTCTGACTGGCCGTGTTTCACAGCCATAAAGTAGGACGGGGCAAACTGCTGCGCAGTAAACCCGTCCTTTGGTTAGCAGATGAATATCTCACCTCCTTCATAAGTGAGCCTTCTGTATGCGTGCTGAGATTTTGTCAGTCACCAGACCATCAGCACTGATGAGATAAGTAAAGCGATCGACACGCTCAACTACTTCACTCCTTATCACTAGTTCAGTTCAGTTGCCAACGTAAGCCAATCTTGAAACAACATTTCGCATTTCGAGGGGAAAACCGCATCCGGAACACGCATAAGTTGCTGCTTAGAGTGGTCAGAAGACTGTGCATTTTGTCAGCGTCTTCACCAAGTAAAACTGTGTCATCGGCATATTTTCAGTCGACAAATGAAACTGCCGGTGGAAGTTCAATTCCTGAAAAATCAAACGAGGAAAGTGTCTTCTCTAAAACCACGTAAATTACAAGGTTGAACAAGGATGGAGAAAGTGGACAACCTTAACGTACACCACTCGAAGTAATCAGTTCCAAAAACAGATCACCATAAGCTCTGACTCGGTGAGTTGTGTAGGTAGCCTGTACAAGGTTAATGTACTTCTTCCGTACACCTTTTAATGACAGCCACTGCCACAGAACCTCACGATCAACAGAGTCGAATGCCGCTTTCAGGTCGAGAAATACTACTATTGTGGGAAATCTGAACGTATCTTTATTATAGGACTTGACGTAATGTGAATATCTGGTCTATGCAGCCACAGCCAGGTCTGAAACCAGCCTAGTTTTCTCTAGTCTGCTCTTCACGAGCACTAGTAAGGCATCTAAGTATAATCGAGGCTAACAACTTAGAAACTATATTAGTTAGACTGATTACTCTGTGATTGTCACAAGAGGACTTTTGTCCTTTCTTATAAATTGGAGCAATCAGTTACTGACACCAGTCAAGTGGGATTATGTCCAGTTCCCAGTCAATATAACTGTTAAAAACGGAAAACCATCCTTAAAAATGTCATGGTTGACCCATAAGGGCCCGCTGCTCTCCTTCGCTTTAGATTTCTAATCACGTCTTGAACTGCATTAGAAGTTGGAGGACCAACATCAATTCGACATTCAGGTTGACTGGAGATCGTGGGCACACAAGCGACTGTCTATAGGGATCCAGTCTAAGAGAGCTAGTTCTGCCCTAGGACTTGATACGGTATCAACACTAGTGAGGCCCCGGGAAGCAGAAGTAGGGCTTCCAGATACAAAAAATAGTAAATCGAGATGGTTGGGTCATCATGATAAACAAGCTCATTCACCACGCCAAGGTATCAGCTACCCTCGAGATAAACCCTACGATGTAATTGTGTTTTTCCAACTAATCAATATGGCTATCACTTAACCTGGAATTAGTTTTCATAGGATGTTGTTTTACTTTTGATTTTTTAACAAAAATAAGTATGCATTAAGCAAGTGGTAAAATTCTATCAAAACTTACATCCTGTATCAGCGGTTAATTGATTTTGTTGATCTGATAGACGCCTTTGATTTGTATGACGTTTAGGTTGGATTTTAAGTAGAGCTTGTTTAATGGTATTTAAGCCACACTCGCTTAGTACAACACCATCCATGAAAAATTGACTGTAATGCATAAATAAAATAAAATTGAATAATGAAAACTGACGTAAAAAAATCTGCAAATTTACGTATTAAAACCAGTATTTAAGTCTGAGTATTAAAAAAGAGTAACGATCTACCTACCGAGTATCACCTGATGAACTATTATCATCATCTGCTTGTGGACGAGTTAAACATGCAACTCCAGTGGAAGAGTATGGAAATAATGAAGACGGCTAAATAAAATAGACAAAACTAGCATGAAAACACAACACGAAATTTTATCTATAAAACAAATTGTACAGTTTGAAAAACAAATACTAATGTTGTAGTGTACATTGCAGTGAATTTAATTTCATCGTTTGTGGTGGATATTATGACCTGATCAAATGTTCGCACGCTCCAACTGCAATACAGCCTCACAAACAACAGTAAAAAGTTTGGTTGTTGTGTAGAAGCTAAAGAAAGATTCCAACTTAACTACAGGTCCTGATTACTACAGTAAGTTATAACTCTTAGAATTGACATTACTTTATTTCTAAGCATACTATCGAAAAACCCAGTCCATGGGTTTTCAGTATTTTTAAATTGATATTACTGCCGAATTTAAAAAAGATGTAAGCATGGATCTCCTGAGGAAATCTTTAGAGTCAGGTTTACATTAAACGACAAAACAACTCCAACTCCATAAAATATAATGTCAAAAAATAGGCGGAAATTTAAGTTGCCTTTGATGAAGGCTGAAGATAACTTGATCAGCTTTTAAAAGCTCACGATTACCCACAAATCTACACAGAAAGGTTGTAATTATTAACATAAGTATGATGTTCCGAATTGTCTAACTGATCGTCATCTTTTCCATTTATCCGTGATTTGATGAGCAAATGCATGACCAAACTGTTCTAATAAACTGCATCATATTGAATTATCTTAATTTACCAAAGGGATTAACTCGTCTAAATGTGATTTCGCTTGTGAAATCAAATTTTCCTATATTGAGTAAAATATTCAAAAATTAAAACTGTTTTAATAATTGTACTTATTGTGGATGTTATTACTTCAATAAGTATAACAGAAGTTAGAGAAATTATACTATAAACTCAATAAACCATACTAATTTGTCAGCAAACAGATTTTCAGTAATTTCGCCAAATTTCAAGTTCTCCAGAGCCGCGAGATTCCCGTTAGCTGCCTGTCTGTAAGCCAATACCTAACAGTAGGGGAGGAAAGAAAAATAAACGTAGTATGACAGTATAATTATAGACACTGCATAAAACTACCACTGAAAACATACACAAATATCTAGATGAATGGTAACAAATCTTCCAACAAACACTCTGATTCTGAGTAATACGATCCAGAAAAGTACTTCGAAAGGAGCCATTTACTACCCAACAGTCTGCTTCATTCTACTTCATGGGTGTGACACATAATCATTAAAGAATAGAAAATATGTGGAGGTTACTAATATTCAATCACAGATGTCTTCGAATCATTGCTTGTGTATTCTAGGACACCCAAGTAATATCTGGGTCAGGAATAAGGTAACAGATAAGGATGGCAAATCTATTAAAGTAATGAATGTTCATTAGCTGAGGTGGTTGGGACATGTTACATAACTCCAACCATTGCCTATTTCGATGGGTGCTGTTGACCGGTGCAAGAGTTGGTTGAATGAAATTTAGGGGCGGCCAAAACAAACACGGCACCAGACCATGCAGACATTGACAATAGATGTAGACTACCTAGTTAGGGTTCGTATAATAATCGAAACCAGTAATTACAGACGTTGAATGACATAGCTCGAAATCATTTGCAATTGTGCAGGTATATCAACGGTCTAACACTAAATTTTAAGCTGCCGAATTCTTTATAACCTTTTTATTTCACTTGAATCACATTTTTGATGCTTCATCTCTGTTACGACTGATACTGTAACTACTACTTCTACTACTCTGGGATTTGATCTGACAATTTCATCTCTCTGTGCTGATGGGGTATACTAATTCCAACTGATGTATATACGTAACAGGTTCTATGTTGCAACTGACTAATTGACGGAATCACTGAAATTTCACACTTTCTTCTTGTCGGGATACTTACCCAAGACGTACAGCATTACTCTTTTAAAGATATGGTTAATCTTGGTACTGAATAACAGGCAGTCGTTACAAATGAAATGGTGGCAAAGTCTGCCTTAGTCATACCTAAATGGATAGTCACAGATATTACAGAAACTTAATTTCAAAAATAGTATATTCACAAACTGTGATAATATCCATTATGAACTAATATTAGTTTCAATAAATAAAAACAATATAAGTTTTACTTGAGCATGCCCAGTCCCAATATCAGCTCCCAGTTCACGACAAAGAAGACAGTTATATCCTAGATCAGTGGCTAATTCCAATTCATCTTCAGTACGTAACTGGTCACAATTGGCATGAGCCCATCTATTGCATAACGCACATCGGACAAGTAACTCTTCCTCTCGATAAGCCAAATTGCAAATGGGACAAGTGGTGAGTGATGCACAGGGTGCACATACAGAATAATTAGCGTGCCATTTTCCATTAAGACCAGGATCTTTTTGACCACAATTAGTACATACAACACAGTCCGCACATTTCCAACCACCCTATACGAAATATAAAAGGTATGTATAAAAATTTGAACATAAAATTCGTACCACATGAATACACAGATACGATAAATCTTAGTAATTTTTAGAACATACAAACTGACAAGACTATCTGATATACATTTAAAGAATACGCTAAGAAAAATTTTGGGAATGATTAATTTTGTTCAAACCTACTTTCGGTACTTCTTTCAACGGAGGATCCAAACAATAGGTATGGAAGCTAATATTGCAATCATCACATAAAAGTAGGAGACTTTCATTTGATGTTCCACCACAACCTTCACATACTGTACAATCCAAACAACGCCAACCTTTTTCAATCATAGTTCTTGTTATTTTAGGTACTTCTGCACAAAAAGAATGATAGCACTGACCACATTGGGAGCAAGCCAACAAAGGAGTATCCAAACCTATTGATCCACATGCAATGCATATGTCTTGTTCCAACATGAAATGATCATCTGCACGACAAAATACTACTGTACTAGGATGATCATCCTTCTCTGAGGCTTTGGATTCATACTAAAATCACAAATAGATCAATAAAAGGTGATTCTAAAGAATGACAAAATTTTCTTTCTTATCAGTCAAATAATTTGATGTGCTAAAGGTAATTTTGGTCGAAGAGTTTTATTATTTCAGTTCGAGTTTGTACGGATAACATGAACTGATCAAAATATTCCACCATAGATTAAAAGCAAGTTTATTATTACATAATTGACAATATATGCATATATATATATATATATATATATATATATATATATATATATATATATATCAAGTTTTTTGTGTATCAGTCGTGAAATTGGATGCAAAATAAACTTGGAGGTCGGCTCGAAAGCAGCGTAAAAATGACTTTAGTTTCATGATCACAGCAAATAAGCTATTTTTTGAATGATCAATAATAAATTATAATTAACTAATCACTTATTGGAATAATGCATTTTATTTGAGGAGAGGGTAGTAATTCATCGATAGATGCTTATTCAGTTCGACGGATTGAACAAATTTCATTGACATGATAAATCGACAATTATACACTTAAATCATTACCATTATACAAATTTCATAAGAATATTTTATAATCAAATAAATGTGCGTTAAATATTTTGTATAGTTTAATTTACACAAATCAAACGATTATTGTAATTTACTGTTTAGTCAATATCATAGGAAAATGGTACACCTTGACAAGAACTATTAGGAATTAAATTAACTTGTAACATAAAAGAAAGTAATTAAACAAAAGTAGATATTTATGCTATAAAAACATACCGAAGTAATTTTCCGAGTTTTTGTTCTCCTAGTTTTACTAATATTTGCTGTAGCAGAACTAGTTCGTTTTAAAGCGCCAGTTTTCGTAGTTCCAGTAAACAATGATTGAGTGTTTGCATTGTTGGACTAAAGGTAGAAAAAAGTGCTTTAAGACTAAGATTTAAAGGACATAACACTGCGAATTTGGATGATAGGTAAAATGATCACCGTCGCATAACTAAAATAAGACTTTAATTGTTAAAACTATTTCCACATTTAATCTTAATATTGAGTGAATTTCAAACAATTGGCTAAAATACTGAATGCAGTGCTTGACCACTTTGATACTTCGGTATCAGATATTCGAGATTTATGGTCTTTCATACATCATGGTCTCTGAAAATATCTGTGGTCAAAAATCAGAACTTTCTCACTGGTTATACAATTTGAGAATACTTTTCATATTATATAACTGATTACACATAGTACTGAACTTGTATAGGTGCATAAGATTCAACATATTAGTGAAGGCTTTTTGTTTGAGGTCCGTTAGATGTACAGTATACCTAACTGACAATTATACATTAGTAATGTAAATAAAAATTATTAAGATTTATAAACAAGATATGAGATTAGACAAACCCGGGTTGTTGAATTAGTTTTTGTAAAACTAGCATCACTAGTTTGGTTATTTCCTCGTCTACGTCCACTACTGCTATTGATGGGTTGGTCTGTAGCTGGTCTGTTAGTTGTAGAATTGGTTAGTGGTAACTTGTTGTTAGACATCACTTTACAATGTACACGTGGTGACCCTGGATAATCTTGATTATTCAGGTGGATTTGTTGCTTTCCGGGTTCAGTATTTGGAGTTGTTGAATTAGAGGTTGAACTTGATGGTGTATTTGCCGATGTACTCCCATTGGCACCGGGACAAACTAATGAACCAGATGCAATACACTGACGAACTGTATCATCTAATAAGTCCCGACCTCCTTGAGTGAAATTTTCATCCATAATATCAGCACCACTATTACTGCTATTTCCAGCTCCTAGAACCGGGCTGGCGCGTAAAGAAGCAGTAGTTGATGCAGCCTGGCGATAAAAAGAAGATATAAAATATCTTTGACGCATCACCCTTTTAAATTTAAGCATAACGTCAATGGATTGAATAAGAGTAGGTTCCAACACAAGACTTGGTAAGTGAAGTTGAAGGAAGAACTTAAATTACAATAAACTTCAAACTAGTTGACTTCAAGTTGTAAGCCTAGTACACTGCTACCTCGGCTACCATCTGCGAACCGTTAATCTAGGCCTTAATCTTGTAAGTGACAACCTGAACAAAAACGTAACTGCTAAGTTCTATGTTGTCTGTTTATGTCATATAGGCACTCAAAATCAACCAGCACTATTGAAAATGTCGTCCATAAGTGACAGAAAACGATGTCAATAAACACATGGAGAAACTTAGCTTTAGAAATGTATACTGACAGTAATAAAGGCAGTCTTATTTTATGGTGTGATGTGGACGCTGTATCCGTACATAAACCATGTATGTGTGGAATATAAATACAGTAGGGGTTGATTGCTACTTTTGAACTCAAGACAGAGCATAGAGAGGAGTTTTTGAATGGTGACCTAGCAAAAGATTGGCTATCAGTTCAAGATCAGTGGCGTTAGCCAGTTACCAGTGAGTGATAGCTAAAATTTGAGATTTTTTGCAATTGCTGACAATTTATTTTTAGGAGAAGACAGAAAACAGAATGGGGAACATTTAAAGTTGTACAATCTACAAGATACTGACTTCCATAATCGCACGATACTTTACCAGATATGAGGAATAGCGAGCCCAAGGGAATTAGGGAGCATTTTAATTGGATTAGTTTATTCATCACTTGTTTTGATAGGAGCTAGAAGAGAGCTAATGATAATGCTTGATTACTCGGAGGGGTCTGAAGCTGCGCTCTTGAAACACGTGATTTACAGCATTCGAGAAGAGTGAATCATCATAACAAAATAATCAGCCTTAAATGAAATATAAACTGATATTGTGGCTCAGTCAGTCAGTCAGATGCAACGTAGAACTTCGTACATAAGTACATCAGTTCATGTCGCCATACCACATCAGCACAGAGATATAATTGTCAATTCAAATCCAATAGTAGAAGAGGTAGTAAAGGTATTAGAAGTAATCGTAGAGGTTAGGATAAGAAGATACTATTCAAGAAGTATGATCCAATGAGAAAAGTTTAGAAAGTAAAAGCTAGAGGTGTTGAAGAATCCAGAAGATTAGGATTTGAGAGAACACAAAGAATAAATGCACCGGCGCCATTGCGAACGATTTTGAGCCATGTCATTCAAGGTCTCTAACCATCGATTATTATCATCTCGCGGACCCCAACCAGGTAGTCGACAACTACCAACATGGCTCAGTCCACTTGTCAATGACTTCATGGATTTGTGCCATGTTTTGGTTTGGCCGCCCCTAGCTTTCTTCCAACCTATTCCTACGCTACAAAACATAGCTCCACGAGGCAGTCGGTGGTTAGGCATACGCAACACATGTCCCAACCACATCAACTGATGAAGTTTCACCACTTCATCTATTGATCTGCCATTCTTACCTAGCACCCGTTTCCTAATAACAGCGTTGCTCACTCGGGTGGCCCACGATATACGAGCAATGCTTCGAAGACACCTATGATCGAAAACCAATAACCGACGAATATCTTCTACTCCCACTGGCCATGTTTCACAGCCATAAAGTAAGACGGAATATTGTGGCTATTAAATGGCTAGTATGAATGTCACGGTTCCTTATTGCATTCGGTTGACTCTGATACAGAAATTATTTCAAACATTGACCACCAAACAGTGACACTGATTACTGAGTAAGGGACGAACACAGAAGTAACTGTACCGTATAACGTACCTCACTCGGCGTTGTCGAACCACGAGCTCGACAAACAGGACAGACGTAATTGGTACCATAAAAACCACTTGTTTCTTCACTCGCAGCAGATGAAGGTGAAACAGTTTGGTAGGAGGAAGGATCACACTCAGCATGAACCATTCGACGACATTGACTACATCTACTACCAGGCCAGACAAGAAAAGTACTATTAGAATTTCTGTACAAATTCTCTGGTACCTGAAAATTAGTAGGGACAAATACGTATTTACTGAGTATGAAAAACTCGTAAAATATAAATTAGCTTTATACCGTTTGAAGTTGAAGTTAAGAAATAACATTGATGATTTTAACTGACTGTTATAAAATTCATAATACTGAGCAGTGACTTAACAATACTAAATTTTCCCAAATTAAGTAACCAGCACATTTATCGACTAATATTACTAGCACGCCGCAAGTCACCATTTTCCAAAAATAATAAACGACTATGTGTGGTATGCTGCGAACCTTAAAACGTTATTTTCGAAAAGATGGTTCTATTAATTCACTCCCAAGTTATTCTCCCTACAGTAAATACACAATAAACTCCTGAAATCGACAAAAGAAGATTTACATCATCCTTAACTTCTAATAAAAGTTGGAGTACAATCCATATACAATATCAGTCTGTGGTGAACCATATCCACATCAAAGAATCCGTAGAGCTGTTATCAAGTAAATTACAAAACCTTCAATGAAGTGTACGATTTTAAAACTCATCACGAAAGAAATCTGTATAAAAGCTAACTAAAAAGTCTGTAGCAGCCCATTTTGTTAGTACGTAAAAAAAACTTAACACCTATGAAATAAAACCAGCCAATATAAGTACACAGGTCTGTTAGTTCTTAAAAATAAATATAACTAGAACCCCAGTTTTGCTTACACAATAGCCAACCTGAGGTACATATTACAATAAAACTAAGAGAAAAGATACTTGCAACTTTTCAAAAACGAAATACATCTTTGATCAATTAAACAATTCGTTGCCAAAATACTTACCGGAAGTGAGCAACGCCATGCTCGTTCGCATACAGGACAACATGAATTCGGCCGTTTATGAGCATGAAAGCATCGATCACATAGAGTATAGTTACTATGCCAACGGACATTTGGATTCTATGGAAAGAAATAAGTTTGTATGAAAGCATTCGGAGTTCCGCAGGATAAATTAGCAATGTGAACTGCAACTTACGAGCTGATTGTTAAAAGCAACTGGTCCCTCCAAACCACTCAAAGTAGAAGAACGTCCGCCTCCACAATCAGAACATACACGGCATCTTTCACATCTGAATCCGTTTTTAGGAATACTAGAAACAGGAGGCTTTAAACAATAAGTGTGAAAGCCCTTGTCGCACACGTCGCATACCAACATTTTATTTTCATCTTTACTTTCACTAAAAATAGACAAGTACAAGAGAGCCAGTAGATGAAAGGTTAAATTATACATAAAATAAAAACAATTTTGTACAAACTGAATAAAGGTAGTGCAGCAGATTCATTATTTTATTTCAGAAAAAATAAAAGGGTATTTACCAGTAAGTACACCTAATTTACAGTTAAAAATAAATGATAAAATGTTTAATTTATTTTGTTAGTTCACCTTGGTACGTTATTTTCAGATCGTATCGATGCATAAGAAATATTTACATCATCGAATATAGATCTTATTTTAATAACTTACTTGCAAATCAAACAAGTTTTGCATTCTGCACACTGCCACCCAATGCGAATTGTAGGATTTGGTTGCAAAGGTGGTTCCAAGCAAGAAGAGTGATAATGACTACCACAACTAGTACAGAACAAAAGCTCTGTGAGGTCACCTGGAGACTCACAGAGACCACATTGAATTGATGTACAGTCTGAAATTTAATAATTAAAATAAGGGTTTGAAATGAGTTAAGAATCCGTAACTGGTAGTTCGAAAAGAATAAAAATTATATAGACGACTAATATTTTAGGCAAACACGAAAGAATGAATAACAGAGTTGCTTTTTCCAGAAAGCACATAGTTTATACGTGCTAGAAAAACATATAAGCTAGTTTTCAGAGTGATCAGATCAGGTCAGTGAAAAAACAAGCAGGCACAAACACTGTTAAATGGACTGAGAAATTTGTATCTATCTTGTTTATTACAGCATTTAACCTTTACCTGTGTGTAATAAGTATATTTCAGAATACTCCATTGAAAGACGATATGGTTGTTCATAAATTTTGTTCCTTATCAGTAGTAACTAATTGTATTGTCGATCCGAAATTAAGTAGTTTACATGCTTTTTTATTTATTTAAATACATGAACTTTGGTATAAACGGGCACCTAAATATTTATACGCCACTCAAATCAATGAATTTGTATCTAGACTGGGACATCGTCTGGGTTTTCAAACCAAATAAGATATGGTTAGAACTCACGTGAGGATACATCCCAGATCTTAAGTCCACCACCTTAACCAGTTAGTCATTCCAGACGTTTATGTACTTCGCTTTGAATCATAATGTGTGAAGACTCAGTGAGTCGTGGAATAATCATACTGAACCAAAATTGGTGGATGTTGAGTATTTTAATCATTAAGTTATCTCACATATTTATCGATAAGTAATTAAATATCGGATAGATTCACTCTTACTTGATGTAAGTGCTTCTGAAATATGGACCGGACATAACAACTCTAATGTTTCTACATCTTGCAAGCAACCAGCTCCTGCTGCGCAAATGAAATGGAAACACGATTCACAGTCTCTGATACGACAAGAAATACTTGCTCCATAACGCAGACAAAGAGAACATTTCCGAGTAACAGCAACAGTTGCTGCATCCTCAACACCTTCAAGAACCATCTTAACAAGCAAAAAGACAAACAGGTATGAGCTAAGAAGCAATCAGCGGTAATTTTAAAAAAGATATCAATTAATTATAAAACGGTCAAATAAACTACTTATATCTGTCAATCGTAAAATAGTTGTTCCGTTAATTAATCAAAAGCAAGTTAAGGACAGGATTGAATAACATTAAGTGAATTGTAATAAATGCTCAAACTATATCAAGTAACCTTTTAAATAAGCCTCTATTGGATACGACGAACTCCGTTTATTTTTACTTATTTAAACATAAGCATTAGTAATAAAGAGGTACCTATATATTGATGCGCCAAACAAATTATTAAATTTGTGAGTGGGCTGGAATACTACTAGATTTCCCAAACCGAAGCAGGAATGTCACTGTTCAGCCCGAAACCCAGATAGTTGTAAAAGTGTATTGTCTTAAAAAATATGTACGAAGGGGTTAAATTAAACTATGTTGATAAACCAATCAACATCGAGATCCATATTAATGCACGTCGATTGATGAGGACTTTAGACAGAGGAATTACAGATGAATATCCCTAGAGCATTAATATAAAGCAAAAAACACTAAGAACTGAGTGAGCAGCCTCGATCTACCTGCAGAAGGCTTTAAGAACTGTAATTCCTAAAGGAAAAAACTTTCAAAAAATGAAGATGTGAAAGACATTAGCCCTTATTTCAATAAACAATTAGTGTTCAGCCAGGCAGCATAGTGTATACTGATGACTGAAGAGAATATAGTAGTCGTGAAAGATTAGGATACTAAAGTGAAGTCGTTATCCAACAAGGATTTTTCGTGGATCTTATCAGCATTTTTCGCTACTTGTGTGGTTGAAGAACTATTCGTGTTCACATAGAGGCTATAGGTAGTTATCATTTCTGGTGAGTTCCTATGATAACCTTTCTTCCATTAAAAAACGTAAACCAATCGTGAATATAAAAAGGTGAGGAATATAGAAAAATATACGTCCGAAACGTTTTTTTTATTACAAAATAATGATTTACACAGTGGGAGGTAACGAAAGCGAGAGCCATGGAAAAAAAGCGACGATAGGTAAAAGTAGACTACTGTTCAGACTTATCAAGGAAACCGGTAGGAGGAATTCATCTGTTAGCGAAACTATCGCAGAAAAGGATGGTCATATCAAGAATTCTGAACCCAGGAGATTGGATTGATAGGGCAGAACACTTCAGGGATTAATTCAACTGCCGTTCAGCCACTCTTTGGTTACCCGCGATCTCTAATCAAACTCTCCAGGCGATGTCAATCCTCCAAGTCTTAAAGAAGTTCAAAAAGCCATAGGAAATCTAAAGTGAGAGAAAGCAGCAGGGCCTGACAGGCTTATCCCTGAGATTTTTTAAGAATGGTGGCCTAGTTTTAGCAGTTATATTGACTGAGATCTTAGGTAGAATTCGGGAACTGGATGTAATCCCATCCAACTGGTCTCAATCACTGATTATCCCAATTTATAAGAAAGGACAAAAGTCTTCCTGTGACAATCACAGATGAATCAATATAACAAATATAGTATCTAAAATATTGGCCTTAATAATACTTCACCAACTAACTAGAGCTCGCGAATAACAGAATAGAGAAAACCAGTCTAGTTAGCGATCTGGACGTCGATGTATAGACCACATTTTCACACTACGCCAAGTTCAAGAACAAAGACACACATTCTGGTGTCCCACAATAGTGGCATTTCTCGAACTTAAGTGGCATTCGATCCTGTCAATCGTGAGGTTCTGTGGCAGTGTCTGTCAATAAAAGGCGTACGAAAGAAGTACATTAATCTAATACAAGCTCTCTACTCGAACACCACTGGTCGAGTGAGAGCTTATGGCGAACTGTCATCGAAATTCTTCACTTCAAGTGGTGTCCGTCAGGGCTGTCCACTCTCTCCATTCATGTTTAACTTTGTCGTAGACATGCTTTTAGTGTTAACATTATCTTCGTCTGACTTTTTAGGGGTGGATCTTCTACCAGGACACTCGCTTGTTGACTTACTATATGCCGATGACATAGTTCTGTTTGGTGAAGATGCTGACAGAATGCAGAGTCTTCTGACCACCCTAAGCAGCAACACAAGCATGTTCCGGATGCGGTTTTCCGCCTCAAAATGCTTGATGTTGCTTCAAGATTGGCTCACGTCGGCAACTGAACTAGTGATAGGGAGTGAAGTAGTTGAGCATGTCGGTCGCTTCACTTATTTCATCAGTGCTGATGGTCTGGTGACTGACAAAATCTCAGCACGTATACAGAAGGCTCCATTAGCTCTTGCCAACTTGTGTTACTTATGAAGGAGGTGAGATATTCATATGCTAACCAAAGGCCGGGTTTACTGCGCAGCAGTTTGCCCCGTCCTACTTTATGGCTGTGAAACACGGCCAGTCAGAGTAGAGGATATTCTTAGGTTGCTTGTTTTCGACCATAGGTGTACCCGAATTATTGCTCGTATATCCTCGGACAGCCGAGTAAGCAGTGCTGTCATTAGGAAACGGGTCCTACATAAGGATGGTAGGTCAGTAGATGAAGTAGTGAAACTTCATCAGTTGAGGTGGTTGGGACATGTGTTATGAATGCCTAACCACCGATTGCCTCGACGAGCTGTTTTGCGGTGTAGGTGCAGGTTGGAAGAAAGCTAGGGGCGGCCAGACCAAAACATGGTACAAATCCATCAAGCCACTGATAAGTGGACTGATTCATGTCGGTAGGTGTCGACTACCTGGTTTGGGTCTGCGAGATGATAGTAATCGATGGTAAGAGATCTTGAATCACATGGCTCATAACCGTCTGAAATGACACAGGGGCGTCCAATCTCTCAAATCCTAATCTATCTCTACCACCATGTGATTTGAACTGACAATAGCGTCTCTGTGCTAATGTGGTATGGCAACCTGAATTTGTGTACGTACGTACGTACGACGTTCTACGTTGTTACTGACTGACTGACTGACTGACTGGCAGACAGATTACTGCCTAGTATCGTTTGCCTTGAGACTAACTTAACATTGGCTCCAAAGTCATTTAATGGTAGCTTAAGGTTAGTAGTACACTGGTTTAAGCGTACAACGCTCTCAGTCATTAAAGTATTCACCTACAAGTATCCTTGCTTATACCACAAATAAGCGCTCTTCCGGGTAGCGGATTTAGTAATTTTATAAGATACCCTCTTGAGATACTGGTTTTAGTAACATTAAGTTTTACGGTTGTCTTTCCCTTTAATTCCGAGGCTCCAACGTGGTAAAGGCAATGTGGTCAGTTTACAATACGTTTTGGAATACAATACCAAACCTTGAAAATACCGAGTGACATACAAAAGTTGCAAACGAACAACAAACCTACGATTACAATGAAGGCAAACACATACAAGAGCTCCGCTTGGAACCCTTTTGAGGTTGCTGCCAGTCCCATGGCCGCATAGAGGATGAGGGTTGGGCATGGGGTTAATGTCCGTAACGCTTATAAAAACAAATCGCTAAAAAACCGCTGAACAGAAAAAATAATTCAAACCATTTAAACTCTGTCCTGAGAGTTAGAAGGTCTTCATTTAGAACAGTTGTGACTTCTCATGATGAATCCCGAGTTTCTTCAGAAGTTACGAGGCCGATGACCCTTCTGACAACTAGAAGATTTTTACAGGTACATGGAATTTTCCTATATCGTGTGAGACCGGGATAAAAATCCAAGTTACTGCAAGCATAGTATTAACTGTAAAGACGCCACGCTGTCTTCAACCATATTTAGGGGTAGAAACAAGTACGAGAAGACTGGAAAGAAGAATACCTGATCAAGATACCAAAGAAAGATCTTAGCAAAAGCGGAAACTACGGAGGTATCACTCTACTCTCTATGAAAAGAAAAGTCGTCGAAAAATTGTTAAACCAAATGAAAGACACAGTAGACGCCCAACTTTGAGGTCAGCAGGCTGAGTTCTGTAAAAATCAACCACATACCGACCAAATCGCACGCGACACTACGGATCAATGTGGAGCAATTAATTCAATAGAAATCTCCGCTCTACACCAACTTCTTGACTAAGAGAAAACATTTGATAGCGAGGACAAGATGACACTACTGAGGCTTCCTAGACACTATGGTGTGCTTGAGAAGGTAGTCAACATCATACAGAATCCTTACGATGGACCAAACTGCCAAACTGTGCATAGAGGACAGCTCAAAGTCGTCCCAAGTAAATACCAGGGTCAGGCAAGTTTGCTTACTCTCACCCTTCGTCCTTCTATTGATCGACTGTCATGAAGATGTAAACATCTCAAGGGAAGAAAGGAATACAGTGGACAGCTCGGATACTGGACGATTCGGACTTCCCGACTGATTTAGTTCTTCTATCTCACACAACAACAAATGCAAGATAGGATGGTCAGTGTAGCAGCAGACTCAGTAGTAATACGTCTCAACATACACAAAGGGAAAAGCAAGATTCTCCAGTACAAATACCAAATCACACTTGATGGTGAAGCTTTGGAAGATGTAAAAACCTCTACAAATCTGCGAAGCATCGTTGATGAGCACGGTGGATCTGATGCAGATGAGAAGGCAAGGACAGTGTTTCTACAATTGAAGAACATCTGGAACTCAAAACAACTATCAACCAACTCCTAACCCTTCCTTCCTTGAGAAGGCAGCATCGCTGTGGATGCTGGATGTCCGAGGGAAACACCTTACTACCATCACAACCCTCTACAGTCAGCAGTAAGACTACGCCCTCAGACCTTGGGTAGCTGCTTTTAGTCTCATCGTTCTCCAATCGACCTACCTGGCATGGTAGAACCTTCAGGAATATATATTACAGCCAATATAGCTCGATTGGCTCATCACGACAGGCAAGCCCGACCACCACGTCAAGGTAGCAGCTACGGTCGGGGTTGCGTTATTTACGGTGAGTGTAAAAACACTATGGGAAACATAAGAAATTAACGAAAGACGTTTTTCTAAGATTCTTTTTATAAGCCGAACAATAAAAACAAACCCAAGTGCATGTTATTTCCTGGTTACTTCGTCCAATGTTCCGACGGATGATGGATAGCTCAAAAGGAAGGTAATAGTACATTACAAAATCAGAATCTCTACTTTACAAATGTAGTCGTATCGTACTCAGCGACACGTAAGAAATTACTTGATACTTAAGTTACGAAAATAGGATGCGCCAGTTTATTCCTAATCAAAAAAAATGCCACTATGATTTTTCGAAAATCGCCAAAGCAAACAGAATTACAAATGAATCACCACTCACTGGTGATTTTCCCGATAATCGTAGACAGACATGAGACGAATGAATAGCATTTGGGTGGAACTGGAATGGAAGGACCAGGACAGGATAGGTTGAAGCTGCTGGTGAGCAGGCTATGGTCCATTAGGGGTAACAGGCGTAAGTGAACGCATCCAAGAAGCGAATGAAAAAATGAGCCAACATACTTGACGACTAATCCTTAATCAACTTCCCTAATATAACACAAGTTATTAGGAACAGTAATTAGAAATAAAATTATCAGGAGCAGCCTATTCATCAGTTTTCAGCCCTACTTTTAAGAACTTTCTCATTGTTAAGGAGCGGATTTAATGACATCAAAAGTACATTCGGCTCCTACTACGATACTTCTCGCCCAAAAACGTTTACTGACCTGATCATTGAAATGAACACCATTAGACCATGACGCGCAACAATGGTGTGCGTAAATCCAACCGCCCTCTTCGCCTTCACGCGGAGTACACCTAACAATCAGATTGGAAACCTTCAGAGTATCTTCATTAGATTCAGAAGGCCAACCGACATAATTCAATTCTTCTACTAGACCAAAAGGTCGGCCATTGCAATCAAAATAAGCATTCGGCATCCCAGCGAGGGACATTTTGACATCATAACTAAGCAGTAATTTTTCAGTTAAATTCAACTCACCCAAAGGAATTTTTGTTCCTGTTGCGCCGACATCCATCTAGAGATACATGCGGACCTACTTTGCAAGACGTGGAATCTGTCACCAGAGGTGTAAAACATGCAACAACAACTTTGCTATGTTGGTTTCGTCTGTTAGTGTGTGTTGAACGATTTGTAACCAATATATTTGTACACTTTTCCTGCTTCAACTTCACCTTTGCGATGAAATCACTGTACCAAGCAGGAGGTTCTGAAAATTCAATTTTTGTGTGAAATCTGAGCAATTCGCCTTGTCCAAGGTTCAGATTTCCATTCATTCCGCAAAATACACAACAAGGCATAAAAACATCATTGGAATTTTGTAAGGGTTGGGTGAGAGATAGTAAGTCCTTGGTATCTGAGAGATCAGGATTCTGGCCATCACTAAGTCAAAACAAGAGTAAAATATTTTAAAACAAACCTCGTGGTTTCTTTCTGAGGATCGTCTCCACACTCACTGCCCTCGAAACCCATTATGTATTTAAAAGAGAAAACAGACTATGTATCTGACTTTAAGCAGGGACGAGACTCAGGCTAAAACTGCCAAAGTAATGAAACCAAATGAGGAGAACCTACCAAATTAGGAAGAGGTAGTCAACTTTCCAAAACGATTGTTGGGTTGAGTTACAGATTGTTTTAGGCTGTTTAATATATTCCTACTGCTCACATTCTAAAGAAACTGACGAAAAAAACCATAACTTACTGTGCACTTGTAAAACAGATACGGAGCTGCTCGAAAATACAACACATGGAAAAGTCGGACTCGACCTGTAATTGGAGAGAAGCAATTTGTACCTTGCGGGTCTGCCAACACCCCAACTCAAACAAATAGAAAGTTACGATTACGTAGATGTCACACCCGTATATCTGAGTATCTAGACTTGTGCTGGTAATGAGATGAAAAGATCTAGATCAGCATATGGACAATATCTGTTATGTTTCTAGGACAAAACTCGTCAGCAACTGAATTTTGGTTCTACCAAGATTAATCTAGACTCCTTTTAGTTAGGAATACCCCTCGGCATCCTTTATTTGGTCATTGTTACACTTGAGCTATCACTCAGATCAACATGTTACTAATGCTTTGAGTTTAGTAACAGTGATGGTCAGTTAACTAGTGAAAAAATAGCTGAATTTTTTGAGCATGTTTGAGAGCTACCCTAACTCCTTCCATGCCTTCTAAACTATAGTACTGGATGGAAAACCCCAAGATTAAGTATTTTATGAGATGCAGGTCTTAGATATAAAATGTTGGTAAAACAGATTAGATTAGTCATCTATTATATAATACATTCAATTACATTATACGCATATTCACCCACTTATCCACCCAACACTGAGGAACAAGGTACTAGAAACACTGTTCTAGCCCTATTACAGCGGGATATATGTATATGATATAGATCTATCCATCCATAAACACTAGCCAACGACGGCCGACGTCAACCGACGTATTAAACTAAAAGATCCGAGATCTTAGCTATGACTGTGTTCATATGGGCCCATAAGTGGATTGAAACATCATCAAAATTTATTGCTTATTGAGGTCTGCAGTGACGTACTAATCGTTTACAACCATATTTTCAAGGAGAGTTCCATTGGAATTCCCATTTCATTCAATTTTGTAGTACAAGACCATTGACTGCGCTATTGATTTCAACATCAGCGTACTTGTGACTAGTACAGTACGAATTGGGCAACTCTGGGTACTACATTGCCAATTCAAATCCCATAGTGTATATATAGCAGAAGTACTGGCGTTAATGGACGAGAATAAGGTTCGAAAATATTGTTCAAGAAGAAGAATCTAGTGAAATAAACGTAAAAAGAAAAAGATAAAAGCGATGAGAAAATCCCAACCATAAAACTTAATGTTACTAAAACCAGTATCTCAAGAGGGTATCTTATAAAATTACTAAATCCGCTACCCGGAAGAGCGCTTATTTGTGGTATAAGCAAGGATACTTGTAGGTGAATACTTTAATGACTGAGAGCGTTGTACGCTTAAACCAGTGTACTACTAACCTTAAGCTACCATTAAATGACTTTGGAGCCAATGTTAAGTTAGTCTCAAGGCAAACGATACTAGGCAGTAATCTGTCTGCCAGTCAGTCAGTCAGTCAGTCAGTAACAACGTAGAACGTCGTACGTACGTACGTACACAAATTCAGGTTGCCATACCACATTAGCACAGAGACGCTATTGTCAGTTCAAATCACATGGTGGTAGAGATAGATTAGGATTTGAGAGATTGGACGCCCCTGTGTCATTTCAGACGGTTATGAGCCATGTGATTCAAGATCTCTTACCATCGATTACTATCATCTCGCAGACCCAAACCAGGTAGTCGACACCTACCGACATGAATCAGTCCACTTATCAGTGGCTTGATGGATTTGTACCATGTTTTGGTCTGGCCGCCCCTAGCTTTCTTCCAACCTGCACCTACACCGCAAAACAGCTCGTCGAGGCAATCGGTGGTTAGGCATTCATAACACATGTCCCAACCACCTCAACTGATGAAGTTTCACTACTTCATCTACTGACCTACCATCCTTATGTAGGACCCGTTTCCTAATGACAGCACTGCTTACTCGGCTGTCCGAGGATATACGAGCAATAATTCGGGTACACCTATGGTCGAAAACAAGCAACCTAAGAATATCCTCTACTCTGACTGGCCGTGTTTCACAGCCATAAAGTAGGACGGGGCAAACTGCTGCGCAGTAAACCCGGCCTTTGGTTAGCATATGAATATCTCACCTCCTTCATAAGTAACACAAGTTGGCAAGAGCTAATGGAGCCTTCTGTATACGTGCTGAGATTTTGTCAGTCACCAGACCATCAGCACTGATGAAATAAGTGAAGCGACCGACATGCTCAACTACTTCACTCCCTATCACTAGTTCAGTTGCCGACGTGAGCCAATCTTGAAGCAACATCAAGCATTTTGAGGGGGAAAACCGCATCCGGAACATGCTTGTGTTGCTGCTTAGGGTGGTCAGAAGACTGTGCATTTTGTCAGCATCTTCATCAAACAGAACTATGTCATCGGCATATAGTAAGTCAACAAGCGAGTGTCCTGGTAGAAGATCTACCCCTAAAAAGTCAGACGAAGATAATGTTAACACTAAAAGCATGTCTACGACAAAGTTAAACATGAATGGAGAGAGTGGACAGCCCTGACGGACACCACTTGAAGTGAAGAATTTCGATGACAGTTCGCCATAAGCTCTCACTCGACCAGTGGTGTTCGAGTAGAGAGCTTGTATTAGATTAATGTACTTCTTTCGTACGCCTTTTATTGACAGACACTGCCACAGAACCTCACGATTGACAGGATCGAATGCCACTTAAGTTCGAGAAATGCCACTATTGTGGGACACCAGAATGTGTGTCTTTGTTCTTGAACTTGGCGTAGTGTGAAAATGTGGTCTATACATCGACGTCCAGATCGCTAACTAGACTGGTTTTCTCTATTCTGTTATTCGCGAGCTCTAGTTAGTTGGTGAAGTATTATTAAGGCCAATATTTTAGATACTATATTTGTTATATTGATTCATCTGTGATTGTCACAGGAAGACTTTTGTTCTTTCTTATAAATTGGGATAATCAGTGATTGAGACCAGTTGGATGGGATTACATCCAGTTCCCGAATTCTACCTAAGATCTCAGTCAATATAACTGCTAAAACTAGGCCACCATTCTTAAAAAATCTCAGGGATAAGCCTGTCAGGCCCTGCTGCTTTCTCTCGCTTCAAATTTCCTATAGACTTTTCAACCGTACTACTGCTATTCTAGTTCAAGTCATTTGGAGTTTTGCTGTCATTATTACATCTTTGATTTGAACTTTCTACATTTAACAATTATATTCATTTTTGTTTATTGTGATTTCTTACTGCTGCTAGTGAAATGTTCATATTTTTCGTAATTTCTCTTGATGCAAAATGTCATATGCTTTAGATCTTGAGGTGTTTTCGCTCAAGTTGTCATAGCTATTAGATTTCATGTCACAAATACTCGGACGTTGAGAACTTAACTTTTTAAGATCTTACTTCTAAAGTTTATTGACACCTCATCATTTTTACTGAAAAATATTTAACTCCTTCAAATCCTCTACAGATGTCAAACGCCACTATGACGGCAAAACACATCGTCTTCCGTAACCATACACACAACAACTTCACCACGATCGGAACACTTAATGAAGTCATGTTCCATTCCACTCTCAGGGCTAATGATTGGATGCTCAGTGAGTATCAGGTGGGCCTTGTGTATCTCCGAAGCATTTAAAGAGGTTCACGAGGTAGGTTTTTTTCAGTTAACATTACGCAACCTATATATTGAGCTAAATGTCCTTTCAGTGTCGCAACTCAGTTCTTTAGCTAAGCATAATTTATTTGGCCACAACATGTACAGCATACACCATGAAAAAACATCGAGACCTATAAATAGTTAAATGTTCTGATCTCGGCCCTCATTTATCTGGAACACCAAGAAGGAACACAGTTCTAGCGTTCTATATAAGTTCAGGCTGTAGTTGAAGTAACTCCTATGAGACTAATGCATTTAAAATACCAGTCCTAATGTGTTTAGCGAACTAATAAACGCGATGCCCTATCCATCTACCATTCCTAACGTATTGTCAGATATTCTCCTCTCAAGTAGTTTATCACGCTGCACTCGAAGCCTGTAAGTTCAGTTGCTGCAATGCATAACAACCTCGTATGTAATAACCGTCCAGTCACGGCTACAACCAATTTACTTACATTAACAAAGAATAATGTACCAAGCTTACTTTTCTTGGGTGAATCCTTCATAAACAATATGAGCCATGAACCCTATGAAACAAGCAGACATGAATTAGAGGAAACTGCTTCAGTTAAATGCGTTTTTCCTCTCATTTGTGAGCTGTAGTGCTAAACGCTGCACACATTCAAAGTATTTTTACGCGACAACTTGGGGTAGCTGCGTATTATATCCCGATATTAAACTCAAGTGAAGCACTCTAAGCCTATTACTATGCGATAAAATCGAAGTTTCTACCATAAGCTATTAATGTGAATATCATATACTTGTAAACATAGAGCTATCACAGTACTGCAAGTATCATGAAATTTCAAAAATTAGGCACAAATGTTCTGAAAGTCAGACACCTGAGTATGTAAGTCTGGAGTCCATTATTCGTATTTGTTGCAATGATTTCCATTCTCCCTATAAACGCTTTCCAAAACTTAATATGTTGACTTCTATTTGAACGACGTTACACACAACATACATACATTATTTGTAGGGAAGAATTTACTAAAAGTGCTGTTTTATAAGATTCGTAAAACTAAAGTTAGTTCCACAGTCTGAGAAAATAAACGAAGTAACGTGAACATTTCTTGTGAAGAATTATATTGAAATTATGTACAAAAATATACACATTATGTTCCGTACAATTTCCTTTGCAATGGTGGAGCCAGCTGAGAAGTGATATTGCCAGAATTAATAGCAACAACTGCGATTTCTGATTCTGATAGAACCTTGGTTTGGATTATGTTCTAAAATTTGTCAATGTTGCAAAATATGAATTAAGAATAATTACGTAACACAGTATGTCAGTCTTTGACATTAAATTCTTTCAATGACAGCAATAATGGCTTTATTCAATATGATATATTGAGTGCAATATGGAATCCCCAACACGAAATATTTCGACACGTTTTATTTACAAAACAATTAGTGATCAGAAGTTGGAAGTAAGCAGTTCAGTAATACAAACCTTATTAACGTTCAACATTTTCTTAGCAGATTACCAGCCACCGAGATGTCTCGGATTTTGCTTCCTCGAACCTTGTGAAGCGATAGCTTGTAGACTTTCTGTATACACGCCCGGATAGATTAAGCGATTACTAGACATAATTGACGCGTTGGAAAAAACAAAAGGGGGGACTTGTTGAAATATTTAGAAGTTAGGAAACAGGTAGCTTAGATATTCAAGCAGGCAGGAAGAAGTATGATATAATATCACGTAAACAGGTCAGTTATAGCTTCAGTAGTGATGGTATTATATAATAACAGGACTGAAAAGGTAGGATTTAACTCGTGATTTAACGTGAAAAATTATGCTGGTAAACCAGTGCATAAACCTGTGTGGTGAAAACTATCCACTACGAATGAAATACCATGCAAAATGCTAACAAAGAGAAGTTTGGAAGAACTGTAAATAAATAATGAAGATAATTTAAGCACATTAGTTTTCTAAAACACTAGATTAAATATGAAGTCATAGTTGAGATACGTGTTATAATTGGTATATTTATTTGTGAATGTTTACGTATTGATATAAAACGGTATGTCAAACCATAAGACAAACATGTTAGCAAACAAAGTACAGGACTTTAGAGTACTTCGTGCAAGGTTACGAGTAGCTTAAACATAATAATTAAGCGTCTCGGAGATGACTACGGACTAAAGCGAAAGCAGATGCAAGACTTTCGCTATTATGAAAGTAAATAGCTGAGACATTTTCTTAAATCACGTATATGAAACAGAAGTATGCCAATGGTCAAGAAATTAGTAGTTTGATACTTGCAAATAGACAGAAAAATATTCAACAGCAATAATGCTTAACTGACTCATAATATGTTTATTTTACATGGAATTTCACGAACATTTTACTTCAGTCAAATATTTGATATAAAAAATAAGCCTTCAAACATGGTAAAACCGAATGAATCATATGTGAAGCCGAAAATTGGGACCTACTTTGATGTTTTCGCAAATATATAAGCAGTAGTCGTCATCAACAGTCTTCTTGTACGTAAGGATTTTCTTGATCATCCCAAGTTCATAATTCTATATTGTAAATTGGTTTAAAAAGATCATAATAAGTATGGAGATGAAACAAAAGGGCAAACAGAAAACGACCTTCTTGATGTCTGTTGATATTCACCGTCATTGAGTTAGTGCCTTAGTCATGCCTATGTCGTCGTAATAATTAAGTAGGCACTGTAAAATATTACAGGTACATTCATTAAACAAGTACCTAATGGAAAGAAAAAGGGGTTTATGGATTTCGAGCTAACCACTTCCAAAAATGAAGAGTCAAAGATTAGTAGTGGAATCAAACGGATCTGATTTTCATCTAATCTAATTCAGTTTGAGCGGTTGAATAGAACTACACAAACAAACGGAAACAGTGTCTGACTTGATTTAGTGAGACGGATAACATTTGTTTCGACTTAAAATCTACCATAAAATTCTAACCGAAAGGTTAGAGTTCTAGAGACTATAGTATACAACTGATTAGGATATTGACGAAGTAGGTAAAAACCATAACTGTGAGAAAAAGTAGTATAGTCTTCTCTTATTTTGGACATGAACATTAAAACACGTCTTAATAAACAAGAAAAATTTGATTTAATTTGTAAAGGTTGCTGGGTTAACCTGTTGTTGATATTGTTGAATGAAATTCGGTTGGTCTTAAATGACTTGTAAGTCTTATAGAAGAGATGAATTGTGATTAGTAAATTTGTAAAATTTAAAACTTGTTACATTGAATTATCTGAGTCACAGGATTGATCTTCACTCAAAGGCTCGAACCTAGTACTTTTCAGTTTAAATAGGACTAAAAATGAATGCTAGATCCCAATGCAGGCCATAATCTATAATTTTCTAATAAAAATTCACTTATTTTAGCATTGATGTATCACATAATGTTTCATATGCTTAACAACGTTCGAGAACAGTAACTCTTGTGGATATATAATTCTGTAGTTTTCGTCAACAATTCAGTCATGTGTAAAATTAACTTTCACATGTTACGCGTGCATGGAAATAGTTTTTAAAATATATTAAATACAATACTATATGTGTTCTTACATAAAAACACTATACGTATGACTAGCATTAAAGTGAACACCATAAACGATTCTATCAATTTACTCAGAGGTTACTGTTGGGGATGTTAGATCCCCAAAATTCGCTTGATAAATGCCTTATTTTGGTTTTCACGTTTGCCAGCATGGGCTGATCAGTTGACCTTGAGATTTCAATTCCCACCAGGAAAATCCATGGCTGTGATTGGCTGCTGTGTATTTTGGCGTGCTATTTTCTTAACTGTCTCAAGGACGTTTCTATGTTGTATAAATAAACGAGAGCTGTATGCTTGATTGTACTGTGATTGCTGGGTGTTTGTAGAATATACTTTCTACGCTTACAAAGTCTTTTACTCGCTTTGGGGATTCAAGGTAGCCTACCTGGACGCTGGTAAAAGTCTCGTTCGCGTTTATCGACTAAGTGACGAAACCTACAGTTACGGCTGAAATCGAAGTGTCAATGAAATGGCAATTTTATTGAAACATACATGAATAAAAGAAATACTCACCTTATGAGGAGTTAAAATAACTAAAAATCGATTCGAAGCTAACAGCCAACTTTTCGGTCCAATATAATCTAGACTATGGAACACTCCTAAACTACGTGAAATTTCATCACCCATTGTACGCCAAAATTTAACAAGCCATTTATTTAGTTTAACACTGATGATACATTTTGTCGGGACTACAGGAATCACTGTATGATCTGACTCACCAGAATTGTCTACATTATTTGAGTGTTTTATAGTTATCTTCCATTCTCTTAACTGACTATTTGTGTACAATACTGAAAACCTGTGTTTGGATAATTCGGTAGATGACTGTTCACTGATAATATTCGAGAATGCGATTGCTACTGGCAAAGGTGAATGACCACTGACTGAGTCTATACAGGAACACGTGAACAAAGTAGAACCAGTTGATGAATCATATAAGCGTACACGTGCATCAGAACAACCAAGTCCAATTAAGGAACCACACTCAGTAATAACATTTGAAACAGACATTACATGAGCTCGAACGTGTGATTCATTATCTGAAAAAGGTAGGTACATCATTGAATATACATATGACAATAAAAGTATTTGTACATCCATGCAGTTCATATAATCAATGCAAAAATATATCGTTACGATGAAGTTTACGTATTAAAACGCAGATATGTGTACGAAGAATATTCTTTTTAATTAATTCTCCTCAGATTCTACAGTTATATATCCAAATTAATAATCCAAAAAGTGTCCAGGTTTAAGTAAACTACATCACTAATGTTAGGATGACTAATATGAAGTGTTCACTTGAATGAGTATGTGTAAAATGAAATTGTGAGATTAATGATCAGAATGAATATGGTTAACATGTGGTGAGAAATAATAGTATAATTACAAATCAGGAATCACATAACACATAGGATAACATGAATGAGGTTTGATTCGGTGATTAATGGTGGATGCTGAATAAATTTCTCAAAAAACTTGCAAGTTTTAGAGAGTTCAACCACAACTATTCTTCTTGGCTAGTCTAGTACAAAAATTTTCTGTACACCAAAACTACCGATAGTAACCTTAGAAACATAAAAGGAAATGGGAACATAGCTGAAGTCACATGGCACTCACAATATTAATGATACTCCTAATAAGAATATTTCTATTAAAAGCTTTTCTCTTATTTCTACTGGCCACTTCAATGTGTTTATAGAGATTGAAAACTTCCTTTTGGTTTATGATGCAAATAAGTTGAATTTTTGAGTAGTATTCAATATATAATCCTAGGATTTCCAGCTTCTGTGTATTACTCACTATTGTTATTGTCTCTGGCTCCCTTGAAGGTTAAACGGCTGATTGTACTAAGGTGTATAGAGTTTTGAAGGTAATAAACACAACTAAAGAGTGCTATATTACCAGATAAACAACGTACATAAGTTTTCAACACTTCATGTGAAATAAATGAATTTTTCAACTGAAGATGTTATGTAAAAGAAGGTTATTAGTGAAGGCATTTCACTGTATAATAGTGAATATAAGTATTATTATAATTACCATCATCGAGCAAGGATTGGGTATATTATGAAACCAAAGAATTCAATTACTAAGGCGAAACACGACGGTTCTACAATAAATGAAGATCAAAAGTAATTCCAACGAACATACCTCCATCAATGCCGCGATCCCACAAAATGTTGCCATTCTCCACAGATAAACACATAAATTTTCCATGTTTTTGTGTTACCAATAACAGGCATTCTGATTTAGGAGTAAAAGCCAACAAACATGAAGGTGGAATAGTTGGTGTATTTAATTTCTTCTGCTCTATACCAGACAAATCACACAAATCCTTAGTAAATGATCCAAGTTGATCATTCCCACCTGATGACTGGAATGATTTATCCATAATGAAATATTTCAGGATGTCAGCATCTTGTAGAATTTCATCTGTATCTGTTTCGGTCTCTGAAGATGATGTATTTGAAGATGATTTGCTCCAACTGTCCAAACGTACTCGTTTATGACGAGATTTTGTAGAATCACAAATTGAATCATGTGGGTTACTACCCCACTCAACTGGTTTCACTTTTGCTTTTGATACACAGAAACTTCTTCGTTTATTTTTAAATGCCTATGAGCGAGTACAGTGATAGCAAAAACAAGATGTATCTGGTTACTTTAGTCGTTAGTACTAGGTTAATTGTTGAACATAATAGGAGGATAGAAATGTTTTTATCGTCAACTGTGAAGATGATACACAGTGACTGCATAACACTAAACTGAACTATTCGAATTTGTTTCGCTGAGTGTTCCATTTAGATTCGCCACTATTGAGACTATTTGGATGGTCACTTACCTCTTATAGAACAAGATTATGTAAATAAAAGAGTTGTCAATGAATAGTAACAATATTCAACCTTATTCGAACAAGTTATGATAAGAGAATAAATACTGTGGTGTATACTACTCGCAAAGTAGATAGTAAATAGTGTGCAGCAAGGAATCGCTCAAAAGTTACTACTGAAGAGAAGAGTTGCGGAATCGTTATGGAGCGATGAACGTGTTTCGAAAGCTAGATAACATGTGAAAGAAGACATTCAAGAAGTTGCTTGTTTTGTAGATGAAGTTTGAAGATAAGGTGTACACAGATAGCCAAAGAACTGTTTTTTCATTAGATAAATCACTTATTCCATCTGAATGTAACGTCTTTGTTCACTACACTTCTATATATTGTACGTTTTAGTCATTAAACCAGTGATAACAATCATATGATCATTTCTACGCCATATATGACATTTGTATCTTGTCATTAAACTACAACAAGTCCAATCTCTTGGAAATATGTGATTTTTACGCTATTCAGGAGCTTTCACGAAAAATCACTTTGCAGGAGCCCAAACAAATAAATACAAAGAAAGATCAGACAACTAAGCTAAAAAAGTAAATAATCCGTTAATTCTATAGAAAAGTGACATTTTAATAATTCTCGAGTATACAAACTGCCATCGCCATTTTAGGCGGTGATGCTTGACTAGTTTATTATAATCACATAATACGCAACAGCCGTTTGAACTGATTTCCTAATTCATTTAATAAAATAAGTTATTCATGACATTAATGAATTTGATCCGTCTAAACAAACGATTGATTAATTTTTCGATTACAAGGAATGTAACACTGTGAAATCCTTTTAGTGAGTTTTCAGAAAACTACTCCTCAATTAAAATCAATTTGACATAAATTACTCTTCGAAACCATACACTGAACTCAACAAAAAGATAAACAGACGTTAATTTTCTCAGCGAAAGATTGATAAACTTCGCATAATTAGATAAAAGTCATATATTGAAACTACTTTATAGATAATAAGTAGTATTAACGAAACTAATTAGGTAACATTGTATTTTTTAATTAAAAACTGCTCCTCCTCAAACTTATGGCTTACCTTACTAGCAGATAACATTGCTGGTTCCACAGCTTTTTGTATATCATTGCAAGGTGCCTCGAGGTGGACATAACTGACTACGTGGCTGCCTGCTTTCCTAATCGCTCTTGAAGTATATTCTTAGCTTTGCTATCACTAAGTAGAACCCTAAGAGGTTTACTTGCAGTGTCTTTCCTATGCTCAGTAAGCCTCAAAAAAAATACGCACTCGAACCTCGACTTGGTCTGAATCTACACAAGTGCTCCAGAATGAGTGGCAGTCTTCAACAGAGCCTCTCCACCAATGACTAATAGCAATATGATCTAGTTGTGTCCATCGTTGACACGACTTTGGGGGTCGCCAAGTCAAAAGATGTTTTTCCTTATGCTTAAAGTTAGTGTTTGCTAGAAATAGGCGGTTATCTGAGCATAGCTGAAACAAACGGTTGCCACTATCTGTTCTTTGAACCACGACACCATAACATCCACCCAGGTGTCTTTCCTTTTCACCTAGTCTACCTACTTAGCAATAAAGTCGCCAGCAATTATTACTAAATCAGAGCACTTAACGTTTTGAAGAAGTTTAGAAAAGTTTCTGTAAACTTATCTTTCATGATAAGGCAGATACAACGAAGAAACGACGGTGAGTGGCTCTACCTTTACGAGCCACTGCTGTCCCGTTTAGTCGGACAGCACACAAGCGACTGTCTACTGAGATCCAATCTAATAAAGTTACTCCTAATTTACAACTTAATGCTATACCTACACAACCAAAGCCACGGGAAACAGCAGTAGGGCTTCCAGATACACAAACAGTAAATCGAGTCGGTCATTTATTTTGATATCGTGAAGTCAAATAAACGATACTACTCGGAACTTGTACGCACGTTTCCGAGACGCAGCATACATCGACGGCACGAGATTCTAAAGTCCTAGATAAGGAAGCTTGTTGTCCGATTTGTCACAACGTTCGGACATTGAAAGCTCCAATTTGTAGTTTAGAAAGGCCTTTCAGGAGACCAGGAATAACGTTTCGTATACTCAATTAGATCCAGGCTTCGATTATTGACCATAGAAGAGACATGACGTAGTCTACGTTATTGTGCTGACGAATTTATCCTGAGTCATACATGTACTTGGAGTAAGGCTAATTGTCGCCTCATCGTTGGGGAGTTCAACACACTACACATCAGTTAGATAGAAGATACAATGGATGGATGTTTCGACAGACTGTCGTTTACTGTTACTCAATGTGCATTTGTACAGTGAATCACGAAACGGTCACATAGATTAAGAACAAGAACCATTGGACCTTGTTTTTACCCAACAAAGTGATGGTATCATCGACATAAAGTACCCACCCCACAGGCATATATCGGTCACGTACCACTGTACTTTAGGTTTCAGCCATATAATGTACATAAAGTACCCGTTTAATTCCGTTTTAGTATCTGGCGAGCTAATATCTCTACTATCAGGAACTGTGCTATTTAAACACATTGGTCTGTCAATGTAGGTGGATCGGTCGTAGACGAGTGTAATTGATTTAGAGCCACATTCGATTAAGTAACATCCCATAAGACACCATCTTAGGTCTTTTATTTTTGCTTACATCAACGAATTACCGAGGTAGCTTAATTCGTCGACACCGTTATTTGCTGACGATGGAAAAAAATGCACAATGAAGTTGATCATCTTGATCTTCAAGCAGACCTGGAAAAATTGTTTGGGTGGCCCGATGGGGATTAAAAATTATTTCCAGATAGATGTAGGACGTTGCATTTGTGACCAGAAGGCCGTCAAATGTACATCACCATGAATAACGGAACACAAAAACCTAGGAATAATAGTAAGTCATGACTTGGAAACAAATGTACATTGTAGTGTGGTAGCCTTCAAGCTTACTCCCGTCACACCCCTCTACAGTCAGCAGTACGACTTCGCCCTTAGACCTTGAGTAGCTGCCTTTAGTCTCATCGTTTTCCAGTCGACCTGCCTGGCATGACAGAATCTACAGGAACATATGTTCCAGACAATATAGCTCGTTTGGGTCATCAAGATAGATAAGCTCGACAACCACATCAAGGTAGCAGCTACGATCGCGCGCTATGAGAATTGCATCAAACTAAATAGTTATAACATATTATCTTTAGATAAACCTACACAATAGACGTAACCTAATATCGTTCTTGTAAGAGTTATTAGTTTCGGCATTTGATTAACCATGGCAATAGCCAATGAAAAGATATCGCAAAAAACACTATCTTCCGTATATGGGTATAATGAGTCAATAAAGTGTAAGTAGCAGGAGTAGATGTCGCCTATTTTCAATCTAATATATAAAAGAGCATCCATACTAATGATGTACCAAATGTCGTATAACAGTTTTTGACTTACCAAATCTAATTTCAGCAGTCGAGTTCGTCTGAAGTCGCTATAGGCAATGAAAGATCCACAGGGAGATAAACTAGATTTAATAAACTCCATACCCTTAGATGGATGAACCTCTACTATCTGAAGTGGCCCAAGATTTATGGAATAAAAGTTTCTAAAAACCTTCTTGCGGCCAGATGTGATTGGCTGACCAAGACGTACTAAGCAAAGTTTGTCTGGATAGTGAAGAAGACATAAATGACGAGATGCGCCTGTCTGACCACCAAAAGCACCATGTATTGATCCTACAGGCAATGTAACAAAGCATGCTGGTGATGGATGCGAGGGTGCAACAGAAGCAGGCCAAAATGGAAGTGCAGCAACATATCCATTATTGACTTTATGTCCATTTTCAGGTCTTCCAACATTGATTGCCAAAGTCTTTTCAGCTAAAGCGAGGACTCCAACACCCATCTCGATTGATTCACACGACATTACCTGTAGACGTGCATCTTGTCCCACAGCAACAAGACGATGAGGTTCAAAACGGACATCTGAGAAAGAAGAATCTGCACTAGGATCATAATGATGGCCTGGAATGAATGCTAACCCATGAATATCACGTCTGGAACCTCTAATTATACCGCTACATTGCCACTGACCTGAAAATGGTAAACGTGAAAAAAATTAAATTAAATAACTTATTAAATGCTACACGATTAAGATCGAAACCTGTGTTTTATAACAAAAAAGAATTTCACTCAATTTAGGAATTTCTCTTTATCCTGAAACAGTTTGCTGTTAATTCAATCTACAGCTTGAACTTGACCAAAAGAGTAATCAAAAACAAAGTATGAATAACCCATACATTACCAGCATGAAGATAATCATTAAAAGAGTAAACAATTCAAAAAATATTCATTTTATAGGCTTTAAACATACGTCCGTGTTTTTTCATTCAAGCTTATCGAAATCATAACCAGTTAATCGGTGATTTTTAAAAAAGTGAGTGCACCTGCGCCACTGTGACTAAAAGAACGAGAAACCAAAACATGTAGTCCACATCTACTAACACGTCTCCGATCAACAGTCAGTGATTAAATGAACAAATATCGTTTCTTGATTAAGAACTCCGAGTTTTCTCGTAGCTATCCCTACTTTAACTAACACTGCAGGTCGACGTAAGGAGCTGTTAGAGATATGCGAACATATCTTGGACAGTGCGATGGATAAAGACACAATAGCTGGCTATAATTCTGACTCCCTGTATAGTCTACACTGAAGACATAATAAGCTGACTGGTCTACTTTCAACCAAACAGCCCAAGCGAATAGATCGAGAATAAAAATGGCAGTCTACAAATATGTTCTATTTTCTTTACCCATGTTTCACAACCAAAGTAATACAAGGTGGATTGCTTTTCCTTTACTAGACGAACGATCTTATCTGAACTACAAGTGACGCAACTTAGTACGAGGAAAGGGAGACTTATAATTCTGTATCAATATTTCATCAGGCAAAAACCCATCAAGGCTTTACCACCGGTTATATCCAGATACTAACAATAAGCCTGCTGTTATACATTATTATGATACTGAGATACATGATACTGAGATTTTAAAACAACTAGTCCATGTCAACAATAAATTTGACAATTAGGAGATGTAGTCTTCTGAAATGTTAGTTATGCAAAAAATACTGCTGGTAGTTTGAAGTAGAGTGCAGGACTACATGCAATCAGTGATTTTTCAGGCTACGTATACATGTTTATGAGACCCGACACCAGTTTCATCACAGCTACACGAATAGGATGAAATCTAAAAATATTTGTTAATGATTTTCAGGCTGTATAATCGTATCGAATTCAGATAATCAGATTCAATCCACAAATCGGACTTAATGATTGATATAAGTAGAGGAAGAATAAGAAATACCGTCGAATCAAAGACTACTAAAACACCTACTAACAGAAGAATTTAATTAAATAACAACTTAATTTGTGTGCTACAAACCTGACTAACTAGCATATTTAATTGTATCTAATCGTAATAATTTTGTAATATTACGAGTGACATGTGAATGATCACAGTGAAATATAAAATGTTGCATTATTTCCCTTACATCTGAAATATATAACCTGAATAATTATTAGGTTCAAGTTATAAATAATCTGATGCGTATATGAATAAACTGATGGTAGCCCTAATATATTTTTAATAAAGCATGTTTGAATAAATAAACCACAATCGAGATATCAGTAATTTTGATTTGCATGATAGTGTTATCAACATGAAACAATTACTTAAAATAAGACCAAAAACAATTAATACAAATACCATCTCCAGTTTCAGACACAGTGAACTCGAATCTCCGTATAATAGCATCTGCTCCACCACTAAAAATAACTGAACCATCAGGATTGGAAGCCAAAGCAAGAACATCAGCATGATGACAAGAGAAACTATACAATTGGCCACCGACAGATATATCCCAAATACTCACTACACCTCTATTATCTCCAGAAAATAAAAATCCACTGCAAAAAAAGAGACAGAATGAAAATTTAGGAATATTCTCAGCAATGAGATAAATCCATCTGTAAACTAGAACAAACATTTGCATTCATTAGTTTCAAACAGTTTGGAGTATGTCACGGAGCCAGGATTACCGACACTGAAATTAAAATTTAAACCTTAAGGATCATACAAAAGTTGTCAAGGGTGTGTACTAGAGTTTCCGAAGATTCCAACAACTAGATAGTTGAAGCCTCAGGTATATTTGTGAAGAAGATAATAGTACGTTTAATCAGACTTCATAAATGCCCCGACCGTAGCTGCTACCTTGACGTGGTGGTCGGGCTTGCCTATCGTGATGACCCAACCGAGCTATACTGGCTGGAACATATGTTCCTGCAGGTCCTACCATGCCAGGCAGGTCGATTGGAGAACGATGAGACTAAAAGCAGCTACCCAAGGTCTGAGGGCGAAGTCGTACTGCTGACTGTAAAGGGATGTGACAGCAGTAAGGTGTTTCCCTCGGATAACCAGCATCTGCAGCGATGCTGCCTTCTCACAAGGAAGGAAGGGTTAGAAAAGGTCGGCCCTAAAAATGTCACACCTCCCCTAACTCACGGATTTCCGTCTCCTTGGGTAAGGGTGCCCACTAAGGGCCTTTAAGAACGGAGCTAATCCTCTAAATACCTTTCATAAAAAGGCCGTGCGTGACCGGCCTCAAGCAGTTGTCCCTTGGGCTCTGCGGTCACTCACCAACACTAATCCATCTTCCTTTTCAGGTCCCTCAAGAAACAACCTTCTACGGTGTGGGCAGCCGGGAAGTGACAACCGCCCTCATACCCGTAACAGCACGCGAGACCAAATTGGTCAAAATCAAATCCTTCCTACACCCCGTCTCTCTTATCTCTACGACTAACTCTACTCACACACCCTTTTCTCACTGCACCGCTAATGCAGACGAAGCGAGATCACGAAACGTCGTTCCTGGTCTCTTGAAACCCCGTTCTAGACTACATGTTGGAGCTTTTAATGTACGGACATTGTGTCAAATAGGACAACAGGCATCATTAGCTAGGACTTTAGAAACTCGTGCCATCGATGTATACTGCGTCTCAGAAACGGGCATACCGGATCCTAGTAAAGTCATTAACCTGATTCCACCTTGTCAAAACGAAGAAGCAGCCCGATTCACACTTCGTGTATCTGGAAGCCCTGATGCTGCTTCCAGGGGTCTTGCTGGCGTAGGCGTGGCGTTGAGTCCTAGGGCAGAATTATCTCTCCTAGACTGGATCCCAGTAGATAGTCATTTGTGCGCTGTCCGACTAAACGGGACTGTAAGGACTCGGAAGGATAGGGACACTCGCCGTTGCCTCTTCGTCATATCTGCCTATGCCCCCACTGACTGCAGTGCAGACGAGGTTAAAGACGAGTTTTACAGAAAGCTTTCGGACCTCCTCCAAAAAGCTAGGCGCTCTGATATAGTAATAATGGCTAGTGACTTTAATGCTCAAGTAGGTAGACTAGGTGAAAAGGAAAGACATCTTGGTGGATGTTATGGTTTAGCGACTGAGAGAACAGACAATGGCGACCGTCTGTTCTTAGCGAACACCAACTTTAGGCATAAGGAAAAGCATCTGTTGACCTGGCGACCCCCGAAGTCGTCTCAACGTTGGACTCAACTAGATCACATCGCCATCAGCCACCGATGGAGGGGTTCGATAGAAGACTGTCGCTCGTTCTGGGGCACATGTTTGGATTCAGATCATGCTCTAGTGCGAGCTCGTATCTGTTTGAGGCTTAATGGACGTAGGAAAGACACCGTAAGAAAGCCTCTTAGGGTTTTACTTAGTGATAAAAGGGCGAAAAATATATTTCAGGAACAACTAGAGAGACAGTTAGGCGACCATATAAGCGATTCCCATTCGGAAGCAGGATGGGATGATATGAAAAAGGCTGTAGAAACAGCAGTGATATCTGCTAGTAAGGTTGACCATAAGGCTAGAATGAAACCGTGGATTTCAGTAGCATCCAACGATCTGATGGATGCTCGAAAACTCATCCCACCTGGCTGTGAACATGATGAAGAACGAAGTCAACTTAGGCGCAGACTTATAAAAAGCATACGTAACGATCGCGAACAGTGGTGGGTGGCGAAAGCAAGAGCGATGGAAAAGGCAGCGGCGATCGGCAACAGTAGACAACTTTTCCGACTTATCAAGGAAACTGGTATTAGGAATCCTAGTGTAAGTGAGACTATCTCAGAAAATGACGGGACTATTATTTATTCTCAATGCAGGATACTGGATAGATGGGCAGAACACTTTAGGGGTCAGTTCAACTGGCCACGAGCCACTCTTCGGTTACCCACGATCTCCAGTCATTTTGAATGGCAAATCGACCTAAGTCCCCCTAGTCTTAATGAAGTTGAGAAAGCGTTAGGAAATCTGAAACGAGGACGAGCTGCAGGTCCTGATAGACTGACCCCCGAGATATTTAAGGATGGTGGTCCAGTTTTAGCAGCTAGGTTGACTGAGATCTTAGGTAGAATCTGGGAACTGGACGCAATCCCATCCGACTGGTCTCAATCACTGATTGTCCCAATCTATAAGAAAGGACAGAAGTCTTCTTGTGACAATCACAGGGGAATAAGTCTAACTAATATAGTATCTAAAATATTGGCCTCAATAATACTTCGACACTTAACGAAAGCTCGTGAAGAGCAAACTAGAGAAAACCAGGCTGGTTTCCGACCTGGACGTGGTTGTATAGACCACATCTTCACACTACGACAGGTCCAGGAACACAGACACACATCTAGGCGTCCTACAATAGTTGTTTTCCTGGACCTTAAGGCAGCATTTGACTCAGTGGATCGTGAGGTTCTGAGGCAGTGTCTGTCATTGAAAGGTGTACCAAAGAAGTACATTAACCTTATACAAGCCGTTTACTCGAACACCACTGGTCGAGTGAGAGCTTATGGCGAACTGTCATCTGAATTCTCTACTTCAAGTGGTGTCCGTCAGGGATGTCCACTCTCTCCATTCTTGTTTAATTTTATCATAGACATGCTCCTAGAAATAACCTTATCCTCGTCTGAATTTTCAGGAGTAGACCTTCTACCAGGTGGCCCGCTTATTGACTTAGAATATGCCGATGACATAGTCCTACTTGGTGAAGGCGCTGACAAAATGCAGTCTTCTGACTATCATAAGCAACAATGCAAGCATGTTCGGGATGCGGTTTTCACCCTCGAAATGCAAAATGTTGCTTCAAGACTGGGTTGCATCGGCACCCGAACTAGTGATAGGGAGTGAAGTAGTCGAGCGTGTAGACCACTTCACTTATCTTGGTAGTCTCATCAGTGCCGATGGCCTGGTGACTGACGAAATCTCAGCTCGGATACAGAAGGCTCGATTGGCTTTTGCCAACCTGCGTCACTTATGGCGTAGGCGTGATATCCGTTCTCTAATCAAAGGACGAGTGTACTGTGCAGCAGTTCGCTCCGTTCTCCTAAATGGCTGTGAAACATGGCCAGTGAGAGTAGAAGATATTCGTCGGTTACTGGTTTTCGATCATAGGTGTCTTCGAAGCATTGCTCGTATACCGTGGGACAACCGAGTAAGCAATGCTGAGGTTAGGAAACGAGTAGTAGGCAAGGATGGCAGATCAATAGATGAAGTGGTGAAACTTCATCAGTTGAGGTGGTTGGGACATGTCTTGCGTATGCCGAACCACCGACTGCCTCGACGAGCTTTGTTTTGTAGTGTAGGAGTAGGTTGGAAGAAAGTTAGGGGCGGCCAAATCAAAACATGGCACAAATCCATGAAGTCATTGACAAGTGGACTGAGCCATGTCGGTAATTGTCGACTACCTGGTTGAGGTCCGCGAGACGATAATAATCGATGGTTAGAGACCTTGAATGACATGGCTCAAAATCGTTCGCAATGGCGCCGGTGCATTTATTCTTTGTGTTCTCTCAAACCCTAATCTTCTGGATTCTTCAACACCTCTAGTTTCGACTCTCTAAACTTTTCTCACTGAATCATACTTCTTGAATAGTATCTTCTAACCCTAACCTCTCCGATTACTTCTAATTCCCTTACTACCTCTACTACTATTGGATTTGAATTGACAATTATATCTCTGTGCTGATGTGGTATGGCAACATGAACTGATGTACTTACGTACCAAGTTCTACATTGCATCTGACTGACTGACTGTATATGGATTTGACCGGACATCTTTATTACTGTACATTCCCTCTAGCACATTTTACTTTCATAAGTAACTTTAGAGGTTACATTTTATGTCCATACAAATTGTATCAGAAAGTAAATATCATTAGAGCGGTCGGTATATAGTACCTCACCTTAATTGTTGAAATAATTCGATAACAGTATCGACTGTTTTATATTTGTAATAAATCCAATAATTGCATCGATCATCATATTTTTGACTAAAGAAGAGAATTGTGACTACTTGTGTTTAATAGTAACCGTTGTCAGGACGGTAGTATACGAAGTTTGGGGATACATAGAATATCTGCCACCACAGGTATATGATGAACGGATGCAATAGATTATTCAGAATACTTAAGTCTCATCATATTGAATAAATAGATTTCTTTAGGCGACCTAGGGGTTAACTCAACCACTAAATAGGTGGGCCTGTAGCTCCTCATACATATTTTGTACTTTTATCACTGCTGAGTTTGCATGCGCATATATGCTTGGGAATTGCTTAGCGCCTACGCACATGGCCATTCAACTAGTATTACTGATTATTTGTTTACATAATGTGAAGTGTTACAGGCCTTCTTCAAAATTGAGTCAGGAAACCAGTAGAAGTTACGTTCCTCAACAGAAGAGAGAAAATGGACAAGTAAGCTGGAAAATTGACGTAAACAAAAAGAAACAATTTAAGGACTTGGCAGTTGGAAGATGAGTGGAATACTTTGAGGGAACATTGATAGATTGTAAAGCATTTTATAAGATTTCTGATTATTATCACCTTGAAAATTTCCTTTACGAAGCGAACAACTCACTTGATGGACGGAATTAGATTAGCACTAAGGGCAACACAAACATGACACTGGTACAACTCAGTAATCAATCTGTGTGAGCATGTCCGAGTTGCAGCTGTTCAATTGAGACCCAAAGAGCTTTACTGTAACATTTCTGATTGTTACCTTTAGTAATAAGAGCGAGCGCAAATACGCCCGATCAACTGCTGACGAGCACAAACCCTAGGTTCAGGAGTTACACCAATATCTCTTAACGACCTAACACCTTACAAGACTAATTTCTACAATTCATTTGAAACAGCAAACTTTTAAATTATTTTTCTAAGTTTAACTAAATAGTTAGGAAGCTTGATGACTGTAATAAATGGCATTTTCTGCATGATATGAGACTAATTACCGGTTTTTTAAGTCGATGAATAGAATGCTTATAGATGAATGAACGCAGTAATGTTACCGAATGATGGTTATTCACAAGACCCTATTAATGACTTACGTCCCTAAAAAGTTAGGAGGCCAATATCACTAGCCAGATGATTTTTTCATTCGAAAAAATAGCACACTTATACACAAACAGGAAACCAAAATAGAATGGATAAAATTGTGGAAGCAAATAGAGGAAATTAGCTTGTAGGTTGCTTGACTGTTAGATCTAATTATATTAATGGTCATAATTAAATAACCTACCAGAGAAAAAGTATATCTCAAAGAATAGTGCTAACTATTCATTTAAACTCTTAAAAACATACTGACTATCAAAAACAACATGTCTGTAAAATTCACCTGAAAGAAAGCAGAGAATAGTAAGGAAAACGAAGTATCGTATGTTCGTTTGAGTGAGCTTAATTAGTTTGCTTACTAGACTCCTTCCCAAGCCATTTAATGATCAACTAAATAACACAGCTTCGATTTCTTTTGCAAGCGGATAGTGGGGAAGAAGCGTTTCGTTATGATCGTCAACAGTATATAATATTCTCTGCAAAATAAATGGGTTTCTAAAGTACAGAAAATTAGGTAATTTTAAGAGCGATTACAAAACTTTACCACCAATCTCTTTCGAGCATAAGAATATAAGGCTACGATTTGATTATGTCTTGAACAGAAACAAGACTTAACTTTTTGGACACTTTTAAATAAATTAGACTTCGAGGAGTACAGATACGTAATTTATCCAAAGTAAATCGACATATTCCATTATACAGAACCTATAAGTGATGTTAATAGTTGTATGAAGATCAAATAGCATAAAGTATTATTCCATCAACATAGAAATTGGAATTTTTTAAGCATTTACTGATATACATAACAGACTGTTAGTTTGTAGGATCAATTTAAATCTACGATGAATGAAAATGGTAGAATTTTGAATACTGGAATAAGTACAAACGTGATTATTGAACGAATAGCCACTAGTTGAGACCTGAAAGAAAATTGTTTGTGGAAGAGGTCTTTTTAACAGAAACTTATTCTTTGTTTAGACATTATTTTATCCAAAATAGGTCATTCCTTTAAAAAATTTAAATGGCTAAAGCCTAGACAACTATTTACGGAACTTAATCTTGTGTTAATATTTGGCAATAAGTTGCAATAGCTCATGACTTACCCAGCAAATAGTAAAGACCAGATAAAACAGGATTTGCTTGGTTCTGTTAATGTAAACATCAATTTGGAAACACCATCTCGAATAGACATCAGAAAAAGAGAACCAGCGCTAGTGCCAGTTGCCAAAATTCCTTTGTCTTGGCTAGTACAAGCCACAGATAAAATTTTTCCTTGAGTAATAATTTAGTATATAACGTACGTACCTGAAAGCTTAGGAATAGTGAGCTTAGGAGATGGGTCTATTCCATCTGTTGAAAAAAATGTGATAAACCCCTCATCGCTGCCTACCTAACGAATAAAAACCAGAATGTAATGGTGAAACCTACAACTATGTTATCTTCGAACACCGTCATACACCGAGCAGCTGGACTTCCCACTAACAGACAAGATCCTTTGATGTTGCAAACCCTTACATCAAGCTCTAGAAGACGGCCTAGTGCTCCTGTGCAAAATAATCTTGACTGCATCCAAACTAAGGACTCTACGGAGCAACAAATACTGCGTGGAAAATGTGCAATCACGAAAAAGTCTCGGTTTTCATCGTATACTTCCACCGAACCATCTGACCTGCCGACAGCAATCAAACCGCATTCACTGCGAGCCAGACATAAAAATGGTGACGGCTGGTATTCGTAAAAGTGAATGCGATGACAAGCTATACCATCCATCACGTTACCTAGGTCATATGGCGCGCTTAGGTTAACATTGGAGGTAAATAAATTTGAAGGCCATGCTCAAGGCAACAAAAAAGCAGTAAACTTTCACCTTCTTCTTGAGACTGACGGACAACTAAGAGACTTTTATCCGTTCCGACAACGAATTATTCTGAGATGAAAAGTCTTCCTTTGCATAAATCTATTGAAGCAGCTATTCAAATGGTTTAATTGATTTTGAACGGATTAGAAGAAGCCTGTAGTGAAAAACTTCAACGAAGAAAACACGATTGGTGGAAAATAAACATTTACTATTGTACTCGTTTTGTTTAACAGTACCAGTATTCAGTGGTGATCATAGTAAATCTCGACTCGGTCACGGCTAAAAGTCTTTGATGAGAAGGCTTTCTTATCTAGCAACAATGTATCACTGATCCCTTTAGATAGAAACCTAGATACGCTTGACAATTAAAGGAAAAATTTTAATAAATAACGGTTAAATACTTTCCTTAGTCAAAAAGAATATGTCAGCTTTCCTCTTGAAGGACTATCGGAAAGTCGCTTTTACCACCTCATTCGGAAGTGAATTACAGAATCTGACTACTCGTAAACAGTACGTGTGTCTGCAGTTCATCCTTCTATGTTGTACCCCTAGTTTACGAGTATCTTCTCTTGTGTTTGTGTCAAGAATGAGCTTAAGTATCTTAGGAAATTATCAAGGACATTTAGAATTCTATAAGTCATCAGAAGGTCAACTCTGAGACGCCCATGTTGTACTGGGTGACGTGAGATACTTTGCGAGAGGTTTGAGCTTCAGTCCTTAAACTATTTTCGTGGTTCTCCATCGGGTACGTTTTGATAGTGAAGGTGACATACTATAAATGGGGGGAGAATAAAGCAATTAAAGAGTGGATGAAACATTCCACTAGCAAACTCACCAAAAATGCGCTTTAGCGTTACTAGTATTAGGTTTGTTCGAAAAGCATTTTTGTTACGGTTAGTGTAAGTCTTTAGATCATTGGGTACCATGACACTTAGATTTTCTGCAATTTGAAGCACCTATAGAGGGAAGTTGTCGAAATAGTCCGCAGCATTTCTCAAATGGACTACTTTACAGTTTGAAGTATTAAACGTGAATCCGTTTTCATCAGCCAAACTTTGAGGTTGAGTCAGACCCTCCTAAAGAACCAGCTTATCATCAAGGTTAGAAACCTCCCCACAACGTTTAACACTGCCAGAGAAAAGTAACCACCTACTGTATGCATGTTAATTAAGGCCATCTAAATAAGTTAGGGAGATAAGTAACTGAATGTAATCCCATCCAACTGGTCTCAATCACTGATTATCCCAATTTATAAGAAAGGACAAAAGTCTTCCTGTGACAATCACAGATGAATCAATATAACAAATATAGTATCTAAAATATTGGCCTTAATAATACTTCACCAACTAACTAGAGCTCGTGAATAACAGAATAGAGAAAACCAGTCTAGTTAGCGATCTGGACGTCGATGTATAGACCACATTTTCACACTACGCCAAGTTCAAGAACAAAGACACACGTTCTGGCGTCCCACAATAGTGGCATTTCTCGAACTTAAGTGGCATTCGATCCTGTCAATCGTGAGGTTCTGTGGCAGTGTCTGTCAATAAAAGGCGTACGAAAGAAGTACATTAATCTAATACAAGCTCTCTACTCGAACACCACTGGTCGAGTGAGAGCTTATGGCGAACTGTCATCGAAATTCTTCACTTCAAGTGGTGTCCGTCAGGGCTGTCCACTCTCTCCATTCATGTTTAACTTTGTCGTAGACATGCTTTTAGTGTTAACATTATCTTCGTCTGACTTTTTAGGGGTGGATCTTCTACCAGGACACTCTCTTGTTGACTTACTAAATCCCGATGACATAGTTCTGTTTGGTGAAGATGCTGACAGAATGCAGAGTCTTCTGACTACCCCAAACAACAATGCAAGGACGGGTTTGCTGAACAGATGTTTGCTCCGTCCTACATTATGGCTGTGAAACAAGGCTAGTCAGGTTGCTAGTTCTCAATCATAAATATATTCGAAGCATTACTCGCATTTCCTGGGACAAACGAGTCAGCAATGCTGTCATTCTGGAGATGATGATGATGAGCTGATGATAAGTCAACGTGGGTTCAATTCCGAGATTCCGCTTCGGTTGAAGGTGAGGCTCTCATTGCTATAGGCTGTTTGTGATGGTTAAAATGTTAAAATGTTCACCGCCGTTGTTAAGTAAGTCAACAATACCTAGCAATATGGAACATCCAGGCTTGAATTGTTGAATGAAGGTGCGACAGATAAAGCTCTCCAGATTGAAGTAAGATTTTTGTACAGGCTTCATCTTCTCCCAACTCCTTCATGGATTATTTTCTTGTTAGCATGAAGTGTTTATATATGCTGTCGTTACTAGATCGTTTTTATTCCACCCAGAAGTGCTTTTAGGGGAGTTGCACTGATGCTGTCCAAACATGCACAAAAGGCACTGATAGGATGGGAATCTCATGGACCCAGGATCATCAAAACATCCTTCAAAACAAAGAAACAGGACATTACAGTGAACGCCATCGAATGTTTTGCACCTACCAATGACTACAAAGACGACGTTAAAGATCAATTCTACGAAAGGCTGCAGTCAATCGTCGAGGTTGGAATGGACAACACTGGATATGAAGACATCATGGGACGACATGGACTGGGAGAAAGAAACGAAAACGGTGAGAGATTTACAAACCTATGCGCCTTCAACAAACTGGTCATCGGTGGCACAATATTCCCGCACAAACGCATACACAAAGCTACATGGATTTCACCGGACCAGACTACTCAAAACCAGATTGATCATATCTGTATCAACAAAACGATCAGAAGGACTATGAAGGATGTGAGAACCACGAGAGAAGGTGATGTAGAAATATGTTCTTTCCTTCTCAAGATCTACTCAGTGGAAAATAAACTACCATGGAGAACAATCGGAAAGGAATCCAGGAGTCAGTCACTTCAAAAAATCAAGAGGTTCTGGGTCACAAGAAGTACCATCACAAGGAATGGATCTCTGTTGGTACTCTTGCAAAAATTGAAGAAAGGAGGAACAAGAGGGAAGCAATCAATGTCAGCCGAACAAGAGCAGAGAAAGTTACCGCACAAGCTGCATACACAGAAGCAAACAGGGAAGTAAACAAGAGCATCAGAGCCGACAGACGCAAATATGTGGATGATCTAGCAATGACGGTGGAAAAGGCTGCAAGAGACGGAGACTTGAGAAAATTGTACGAAACAACAAAGAAGCTGGCCGGAAACTATCGTAAACCAGAACGACCAGTTAAAAGCAAGTAAGGCAAAGTAATCAGCAACACTGAACAACAGCGAAATAGGTGGGTAGAGCACTTTCAGGAACTCCTAAATCGACCAGCTCCTCTGAAGACACCCAACATCGAAGCAGCATCCACGGACCTCCCAATTAATATTGGCGCACCTACGATTGAGGAGATCAGTATAGCCATCAGACAAATCAAGAACGGCAAAGCAGCAGGACCAGACAACATTCCAGCAGAGGCAATGAAAGCAGATGTAGAAGCAACTGCAAAAATATTTCACATTCTCTTCAAGAAGATTTGGGATGAGGAACAAGTACCATCAGATTGGAAAGAAGGATACCTGATCAAAATACCAAAGAAAGGCGATCTCAGCAAGTGTGAGAACTACAGAGGCATCACTCTTCTTTCAATACCAGGCAAAGTCTTCAACAGAGTATTGTTAAACAGAATGAAGGACTTCGTAGACGCCCAACTTCGAGATCAACAAGCCGGATTTCGTAAGGATCGATCGTGTACTGACCAAATTGCTACATTACGGATCATTGTGGAACAATCAATTGAATGGAACTCACCACTCTACATCAACTTCATCGACTACGAGAAAGCATTCAATAGCGTGGATAGGAAAACACTGTAGAGGATTCTTCGACACTACGGTGTGCCTGAGAAAATAGTCAACATCATACGGAATTCTTATGATGGATTCAACTGCAAAATTGTGCGCGGAGGACAGCTAACAGACTCTTTCGAGGTGAAGACCGGTGTCAGGCAAGGTTTCTTACTCTCACCCTTTCTCTTTCTCCTGGTCATCGACTGGATTATGAAGACGTCAACATCTGGAGGGAAGCACGGTATCAACTGGACAGTAAGGACACAGCTGGACGATGTGGACTTCGCAGATGACCTGGTTCTTCTATCGCACACTCAACAACAAATGCAAGAGAAGACGACGAGTGTAGCAGCAGCCTCTGCAGCAGTAGGTCTCAACATACATAAAGTAAAGAGCTAAATTCTCCGATGCAACACAACATGCACCAACCAAATCACTCTTGATGGAGATGCCTTGAAGGACATTAACACCTTTACATATCTGGGCAG